TGCCTCCATTTGTTGGACATTCATCTTTCAGCATGTGTGTGAGTTTGTTTAGGGGGTGGGGACTCAGTGGAAAGATGGAAGGGGGTCGGGGTGTATGTGTGTGTGGTGGTGGAGTGGGGGTCTTCCATGTTTTTTACATCTTCTCCCCTCTAACACACACCCATCCCCCTAAACATCATTCTATTTTCTATCTTGCCCCCCATCCCAGACCACTAGGCTCTGCTCTGTGGATTCACTGAGTGAGTCAGGGGGTTTAGTTTGCTGCACAGCAGCCAAGAAGAGGAAAAAGTGCTTATCTTCCCTTCAGTCTGGCTGACATGCAGCAGCAACAGTTGTGCCTGAAACCTCTTAGGCAGTTTCAGTTCTACTACACAGCCTGTACAGAGTGCCCTATAATGTCTTCTTCTTTATAAAGTCTGCAAACATAACCCTAATGGTGTCATTGGGATTATCTCGGGTATGGTGTGGGATATGCCACGGTAGTGGTGTGATGACAAATTAATTCAGTTGGCTAGTCAATTTGTCCACTAGTTTGGTCTGATATGTAAAAATATATATTTGATGGCAAGCCGTGGAATGTTGCACAGACATTCATGGTCCTCAGAGGATGAATCCTACTGACTGTGTTGATCCCTTGACTTTTCCTCTAGAGAGTTATAGAGCTATAGAGACCAAAAGCGTTTGTTCTTTTTTTTTGCACCAGGCTGTAAACATGTTTATTTCTGCTGTGAAGTTGGGCATTTTAACATGGGGGTCTGTGGGGACTGAGCAGCTTCTGGAGCCAGCCTCAAGTGGCCATCCAAAGAACTGCTTCATTTTTCAGCCCCTGAGGTCACTGCTTGTTTTCGACTCATACTAGAGAGTGAATCTAAAGCTATCATGGCCCTTTTTTTGACCATCTTTTTTTTAAACAGATAGATCTAATAAGTCCTCCAACTTAATGAAACCGTGATACTAAATTGCTGCAGTACTTCTTTAATATGTATGCTGTGTAAAAAAACAAACAAACTGGCTAGTATTAGTGGCTGCCAAATTCAGGTTATTGTTAATAGAAATCTAAAACTTCACCCCAATATACAAGAACCGACAGCCTAAGACTGTAACACGTCATGAGTGCTGAAGAGGAGATTATGATTTATGCTCCAAGCCAGGATAGTGGATACATTTAATTACAGTGGATGACTGAATTTAGCATGCACCTGGAAGAAACTATAACTGAGGAGTGCACTTCAGGTTGGGAGACTTGGCTATCTTCCCTTGCTTCAGTAAAGAGTATCTAAATATTTAACAAAGCGCACACAGGACATGTAAGACTGGCAGGTGCCAGGCAGTCAGGCGTGTGTGTTGAGGCCAGCGCTGGCAGGCAGAGCAGGGCCGCACCTCAGCCAAGGTTATCGCCAAGACTCAGAGAGAAGACAGAGATTCCCTTTGTGGTTCACAGCCACTCGCTTACATGACTGTCATACCACAAGACGTGTGCGTGGAAGATGAGAGCAGCCGAGCATAGTGAGCTGACAGGAGCAGGCAGAGAGGAAGGGAGAGGAGGAGGCTAGCAGGGAAGAAAGAGAAGCCCAGGGAGACAGATAGAGACAGAGTGATTCAGAGAAAATGAGTGGGAGGTGGGAGCAGAAAGTGGCAGACTTATACTGTAGATCTCTGTGGTGCGTTTTCAAAGTGCAGAGTGACACTTCCTATCACTATGTTGAGGGAAGTGGAGCGTGTCAGCTCCGGTGCTCTCTCACCCCATCTTGCATGCAGAGCAATTACCACTGGCACATACCCCCCTCACCACCATCATCCCCCTGCAATTCAGTGAAATCAGCCAGCAGACCCGTGACTCATCATTTAGAGTAATAGGGCTGTCCTGTATTGGCCTCAGGAGTCTCAGCGCCTGTAGGAGGCTTAAGGAGCACAGGGAGATGACTACACAGAGCAAAGTCGGCTCGTTACAGGAGTGAGGACATCCTAGAAATCATCTCACCTTTTATCCTTATTAATATGGATCAGAGAGGCTGCTTGAGCCATTTTCTAACCTGGAAGATGTTGATTGCAACTAGCATTCCCCTGTTAAGCATCTAGCTTAAGGTGCAGCCTTTGGGCAGCAAAGTATGAAATTCACTTTTTGCTATCAATGCTAACCAGAATTTTATTTAGTGTGATTTATTTATTTAAAGGGACAGTGTGTACAATTTTGGGGGATATAATGGCATCTAGCAGCGAGGACTGCAGATTGCAACCAGATGAAACTTCTCCTGGTTAGAATTAATCCAGCGCTAATTGTTTAGGTGATTTTTACCAGGAGCCAAATTATCCGCAGAGGTCTCCTCTTCTCAAAAACGAATATACCGGTGATTTAAACCAGTAAAAACACTGAATAAAGCAGTTTCATGTTAAAAACGACACTGCTCATTGCAGAGGGGCTGCAAGCTACAGTGGCAAAAACGCAATAATGTGACTAGCCCTATCTAGAGCCAGTGTTTGTACTGATGTAGAATCATGGCGGTGCAACATGGCAATCGATCTCTGTAGATGAGGACCTGCTCCCTATGTAGATATAAACGGCTCATTCTGAGGTAAAGAAGAGACAATGATTCTTATTTTCAGGTGATTATACATCAAAGAAAACATACTTATTCTATTATATTCCATTTCTTCCAATATTTCACCCTAAATCCTACACACTGGGTCTTTAAAAGCACACTGGCAGCCTTTGGACAGCAAAGTTTGTAATTCACCTTTTGCTCCTGATGCTAAATAACGGTTTATTTAGAGAGAAACAGACCCGAGGCATGACTGAGAAGCTGTATTGCCAGTGCGTGCTACATAAACCATTGTTCCACCAGCCCTGTGATGTGCACTAAAGGGGGTCGCAGCGGGTTGCCATGGCAACCTTTCAGTATAGATGGCCTGTTTCTTTTCCAATAGCGGTGATCATCAGCATCATTGGAGGAGCATCATTAGCAGGGAGCCCACGGGGCAGCGTGATCAGTGCCTGGCCAGCACACTGGAGAGTGTGCGGAGAGAGTGATAGACAGAGGATTTGGCCTTTATCATCTGCAGGGTGCAGCGGGGCTGAGCCCTGACAAGACAAACCTCCCGGGCTCCTTTGTACCTGGATGCTTTTTTCCCCCACGGCATGCTGAGCTTGCCTCTGCATCTGTTGCCTTCAGCCCCGCTTGTCTCTTAGGCAACAACAAAGCCCTCGCCATGTTGATCTCTTCACTGTTGTCGTGTCAACACACGTAATGATTGTATCATCCCCGCTTCCAGGGGCTGTCATTCACATGGCTCCTCCGCTTTCCGACATGCTTAGGGGGGCTCTTGTTCACGGCTCTGTGCAAATGGAGGAAAACACACAACAGTGAAACAGCAGCCCTCATCCCCGGCTCACACGTTTGACACCCTTCAGAGGCTTTAAAGAGCCTCCTGAGGTAAACACTCTCATGGTGGGAAGGCTGGTGTCTGAGCAGACAAATGAGATCGACTCTGACAGCCACAGCAGCCCTCGCCCTGCTCTGCTTACCCTTCTAATGCGTGACTTTTTCAATGTAAATAAAGATATCAAAATACAAGCCTGCACTCCAAAGTGCAGCCATGGGGGTTTTCTACACACTGAACTTCCAGCTGTAAATGTCTCTCTCAGTTCCTGGATCACAGAGCTCGCGCTGCTCCTCTGGTTTGAAATCAAAGTGGAAACACTGAGCGTTTGCATGTTTACACTTGTGTGCGAAAGGTGCTCTTACACTCATCCCTATCAGCTATAAACTGACATTTGAATAAAAGGTGGGTGGAGGGAGAAGTGGAGGATGGTTACACAAGTGTTTACATTTCCTTTTTTGCTGCAGCTCTTTCCATCAAATGCACACATGCCCAGAGTGGAGGTGTGAAGCTAGTGAAGAGTATAATTGAAGTGGTGTGATTCATCTACTCTCCTTAACCGCATCATGACAGCTCATATGCTGTGAAGTCTGCCAGCTGTTCCTCCCTCCAGCTTTAATAAATATACAGGACCGTTATAGCTCCTGGTTTCTAACCTTCATGTCACACAGTAAAAAAAAAAAGAAATGCTTCCGTTTACAATGTACAGTTTTTCTAAATATAAATAAGAGAGGTTGGGCACAGGGATAGAGTGATGTCCAGGCCAAAGGAACCAGCTCTGCCCATCTGTTCATCTCTCGGCCCTCTCTTCCACCTCACCTCCCTTGTCTCACTTGTTTAGTGGTGAATGTGGACTGGCCACCGAGTGCCAGTGAGGAGAAGAGACGTAGGGTATCAACTAAAGAGCAGATGGGAAATTTCAATGAGTTGGAAAATCCAGTGTAGTAGAGGGCCTTCTTGAGTGAGGGTGCAGGGTGATACTGATGCAACAGTACCCTCGTGTGGAATATTACAAATCTGCATCCTCTTCCTGTTGCAAGCAAGTAGATTTTTATTTTGTGTGCATTTTTATCAGAGATGTTTTATTTTTTTCTGATTTAGAAAGTGAGTTTGCAAGGGGCATGACTAGAAGACAACACTAAGTGTTAGTTGGCTGGGTTAATCCTTGGCTCTTTTGCCCTTGTATCTGACTTACTCAGCTGACATATCTGCCAGAGTCAGCAGCCGGCCAGGCCGAGCAGACATGCTGAGAAGGGCTTTCTCATTTCCAATGCCTCCCGTAGACTGTGGAGAGGCAAGATGCTGAAGATGCAAGATCAGCTGCATGCCGAACCAAAACTTTACTTTACAGCAGCCTTTGACTCTAATTTCTGTCCTGTCAGGCGTTTTGGTCCAACTGGAACCTGCTGGTCCAGATCCTACCTGCCTCCAGGACCTTTTTTTAATGAATGTGTGATTAAAAGAAAAAGGAATAGCTATTAATGCAGCACCACTAGATTTTGTAAGAACCAATAAAGTCCTGTCTCACTGTTAAGGCCATAAATATTAGGCAGAAAAACACAGGATTCCAGGTGCTGTAGCGAAACAGGAAGTGTGTTATAAGAATTCACCAGATTTCCAAGTACTTACAACGGATTTAATGAAAAAAAAGGAAAGGAAAAAAGATGAATTTGTGTATAAAAACAAAACACTTTATTACAATTAGGCTGAAAAAACCCAATGAAAACACGACTACTTTACAAGTACAAATGTTTTTCATTGATATTTACATTTTTTTTTTTCCTTGACATCAATAAAAAAAGACAATTTATGAGAAAACACAAAATACTAAAGTACATGTTTACAGTGTATTTGCTGCAATAAAAAACAAATGACTAAAGGAACGTGCATTCTTCTCCATTCAGTATCTATAGACAACAAGGGAATTAGACATAAAAGGGACTATTTATGAATACACTTATTCTAATGGACAGCTCAATTCTCAATGCAGAGTTACCCACAAGCCTCAGCTATCTCCAGAAATATAATCATCATTTGAAGGCATGAGCGTTGTCTCTGTTTGATTCACTGGGCAGTAGTTGTGGGGGGAATTTTTAGTTGTGGTAATGTCAAGACACATTCCACATTTTATGACACAAAATTATGAATAGAAGTAACAATGTTGACTCAGTACAGCTAAATTATGGATCCCACCAGAGTTATGGGCAGCAGTGCTGTGCCAAAATATTAAGGTATGAGCTCTGAAATGATCATTTTGAACACAGTTAGCAGTTTAAGGTTAGAGATGGTTGGGGTGAGGTAAAGGCTTGGTGCGGCATTAGCTGCTGTGGGATCCATAAAAACGCTTCAGTACTGTCACATCTGTACTGCAGGAAAACACCTGGTGAATTCAGTTTCATTAGTGTATGTCTCCTAGCTGCTTCCTCCGCTGGGCTTGGCAGGAGTTTTGGCCCTGATGCCACCCTGGCGAGCTTGACCCTTTGTGGTCTGTTGGGACTGAGCGGGCTGCTGCACCGGGGACTCGGCTGAGGAGGGCGCCGCAGGCTGCTGGGCGGGGCTGTGTGGAGGAGGCGTCTGGATCTGGGGTGACGTGGCTGCAGTCACCACCTGCTGCTGGATGATCTTCTGCTGGACTACCTGGGCCGTCGCCGTCCCAGCCGGAATCATCTGCACCTGAGCAGGAGCGGACGTGGCTGCCTGGGTCAGAGTCACAGTCTGGGCCTGGATCTGAAGAGGAACAATGTTAATCAAACATTTATCTGTCCTGTTTCAGAGCTTTGATGTGATCCACTACACTGCACTACACTACACTTGTGGTAACGCTTAGCATTGCCGCTTTTAAACATCTTCTGTCTCAGAACAAATTAGAAAACAAACTGGCTCTGAACTGCTTGTTGGTGATTGAGTGGTTGGCGCTGTTGCCTCAGGGCAAGAGGGGTTAAACCCAGAACCCTGGCCCAACCACCTGGGGCCCTTCGGTGTGGGGTTTACATGTTCTACCTATGTCAGTGTGGCTTTTCGCCGGGTTCTCCAGATTCCTCCCACAGTCCAAAGACATGCAGGTTAGTTTAGCTGGTGACTATATGTCAGCGCTGTGATAGTCTAACCACCTCTCACCCACTGTCAGCTGGGATAGGCTCCAGCCCTCCCAAAACAGGATAAGCAGTTATGGATAATGAATGAATGAATATCTGTTGCAGGTATGGGTTTGGATCCCAGGGCTGGCAGGTTAACTAGGGGGACGAATTTTGGTAATTTTGCTAACAAGTTATGTCCCCTCTCATCACCCCACGCCTACTGGTTAAAACACTGCAGACCACTCAGGTCAGAGAGAATCCTCACTGGCGTTACACAGGACATCCTGTACAAACCGACCATTTTTAAACCACCAAGCTAAGGTCAATAGTGAACGCAATTTTTTAAATTAACTTGACCCAGATTTTAATAATGGCAGCCTGCAAATCTTTGTCATGCAATGAGTATTTGTGTTGCATTGACAGGGAATGCATGGCATTTTCATGGTGCGTTGCTCTGACTGTCAGCTAAAAGTCCTGCCTACACTGACCGCATACTGTCTGCAGTTAAATAAATGACACTGAGAAAATACCTGGTACCAAAAGTGAGTCAAGCGGAGTGAAGTTGAGCCGAACCATACAGTGAAAATGAGGCTTAAGTTTTAGCCTTTGAAACTAACTATAAAAATATAAATGCATATAACGTGACATAAAGGCAGCATCTAGTTAAAATTCTGATTAAAACTATAATTCTTAGCCCACTGCCATACAGAGGTTACGTTTAGGAGCAATGCTCAGCCTGAAACCCTTACCTGCTGAGGAGAAGACACGATTTGTTGAATATTAGCCACAGTGGGTTGCTGCTGCACTATTTGCGGGAGCTTAGCCACCTGATAGGAAAAGTAAACAAGAAAATCTCATATCAACACACAAACCCACTGTTTATCTGCAAATATTTATTGTGCGGTGCTGACTGCCACTGATGATGTACCTGGATTTGTTGGGCTCCAGTGGGTTTCTGAGCCTGGGCGATAGATGTTGTAAAGAACTGGGTCTTAATGCCTGGTTGGAGTTGGGTGGTGGTAGCATAGGTCACCTTCTGCTGCGGTTGCTGGGCTGCCTGGGCTGCTTGCACTGTAACCTGCTGGGTACCAATCTAAGAGAAATAACAATACTGCAGTTAACTCCGATCACTTCATCTTTATAACCGATACATACTGAACTAATACAGTGGTGGAAAAAGGTTTTTGGACACCCTTAAAATTTTACACAATCTCAAATATTATCATGAAATATTTGTGGAAAAATCTTTTTTGTGTTTCAAAAGGTGTGGCTGCATTAGACAGATACAAACAAATACAAATTATATTTTTTTGTTTATTGTTTACAAGAAAAACTAACAAAACTAAATTCTTGACAGTTTCAATATGTCAGTTCTCAACATTGTTGGTATGTGTTCAAAACTGAACAAAAAATAAATAAACCATCACATCATCAAATTAATATTTAGTAGTCCTGCCATTGGCACGTAGTAGAACTCTAATCCTGGCTGGCATGTTCCCCATGAGCCTTTCACACTGTTGAGGGGTAATCTTGTCCCATTCTTCTTGAATTACTGCTTTTAATTCTTCTCAATTCTTTGGTTTATGCTTTGAAACAGACCTTTTGATAATCCACCACAGATTTTCAATGGGGCTCATGTCCAGGGATTGAGCTGACCACTCTAAGACCTGGATACTGTGCTCCTGCAGCCAAGTTCTACTGGCCTTGGAAGTGTGGCAAGGGGCATTATCTTGTTGAAACATCCAGTTTTTACCTCGACGGAACAGTGCACGCGCAGAAGGGAGCATGTGGGTTTTGAGAATGGTACAATACTTGGTAGAGTTCAATGTGCCATCACAGACAGTGAGATGACCAACACCAGCAGCGCTCATGCATCCCCAAACCATGATACTGCCTCCACCATGCCATGCTTGACAGTAGGTACTGTACATGCTGGAGATAATGCTTCGCCTGGCCTTCTGCGTACCCTCACATTAGTAGGAGGAAGATAAAGCTGGAAACTGGACTCATCTGACCACAAAATCTTCTTCCACTTCCTGGCTGTCCAGTTCTTGTGTGCCTGGGCCCAACGACGCCGGGCTAACCTCTGTCTCTCATTGATCAGGGGCTTCTTGATAGCCTTGTAGGACCTTAAGCCATGATCTAAAAGTCGGCCACGTACAGTGCGGGTGGAACGCTGGACACCAGTTTGGTTTGACCACTGCTGCTGAAGCTCCTGTGATGTCATTCGGCGGTTTTGCCTGCACATGCGGATCAGGATGCGGTCATTTCTTGCTGAAGAAACCCTTGGACGCCCAGATCTTGGTTTGTCTTCCAAGCTGTTGGTTCGTCTGTATTTCTGCAGAATGTATCCAACTGCTGAAGGACTGCATCTGCACTTCCTGGCTATCTGGCGGCAGCTGTACCCTACCTGGCTGAGAATCTTTATCTTCAGGCGTGTTTCCTGCGTTAGGTTCCTTGTTTTAGCCATTTTTGTGTCTGAAGAACTTTCAAATGTGCTGGCTTTATGTAGACATGAAGCTTGGCAACAAAAATTGTGTCTTTTAATAAAAAGAACAACCTTCATCACTGGTACCAAAATGACCCAATACTCAAAATTTCTTATGTATTATTATGGAACCAACCAATTTTAAATTTTTAATGGCTTTTTTAGGATTTATTTAGTATTTTGGCTGTGACTGTACTAAAAGAAATTGCACTTGAAGACCTAAGAGTGATTCTTAATGCAATATTTCACAAATGCATGGGGTGTCCGAAAACTTTTTTCCACCACTGTATACTTAACAAAGAGTGTACCAGAGTGGTAAAAAATCTGTTTATATGCTGTACTTGAAGCTTATTTGTGGTAAGAGACAAACAAATGATCAGTTGTGAACATGTGAAAGTCCACGTGTGTTTACCTTCTGCTGCACAGTGGCCTGTCCTTGCTGTGGCTGCCCTGCCTTCTGCTGAGCTGCGGCCGCCGCCTGAACTGCTGCCGCCTGCTGCTGCTTCTTCATCTGAAGCAGCTGCTGGACCTGCATCTGGGGGAAGGACGGCGTCAGCACAGGCCCACCTGACAGAGAGGAGAAAGAATAACATATTGAAACTGTAGGACGAATCAGAGGTTTGTGACAATAATAACAATAGCACAACAGGATGTCACATGAAAGGACATCCATCACAAACAATGCAGACCCAATAAACAACAAATACTGCTGCCTTTTTCGATTTGGATTTCAATCATGGGTGTATTATATTGTATATTATATATTATATTAAGAATATGATTGAAACAATAGCAAAATATAATTTAAAAAATTGCTCATAACTTTGAACATTAACTGGTTTGTAAAGCCTGTATGGACATGAGGAGCGACAATGAAGTCATAGAGATCCAATAAGACTTTTAACACACCTGTTTTCTGGGCCTGACCGATAGCCACACTAATGCCTGCTACAGTGACTGGCAGTGTAGTGACACCAGCTGATGAGACAACAGCTGGCACCACAGGAGGCTTGGTGAGGGTCACCTGGGCCGTTTGTCCTGCCTGTGCCTGAATCTGACCTTGAGTAGGCACTCGAGTCTGGGGAAGGAAACACGAAAAAATACAGTGTTGTAAACACACCACTTTCTCATTTCCTCTGATGTTGTTAGACAGCAACAACTTACAATTTCTGTATGTAGACTGTTAATAATACAATCCATCTTGTCTTTTGATTCATATGGTTCATACAGGTCCGATAGTAGTGCAGTACATTTCTCAAATACTTTAACAAGTTCTTCTGCATGTTGTACATTTTGTATTTATGTAAAATCCTTTTCACAGTCTTACCAGTCTGGCCACCTGCAGGTTGGCAACAGTGGTGCCGGTCAGCACAGCTCCAGGTCTGGGTGCTGCCACAGCTGTTAGCTGGGGATTGGCCTGGGCAGCCTGTGCAGGCTGCACCTGGGTGGCTTGCTGGGCCCCTGCAGCCTGTTGGCCCTGGGCTGCTGCTGCAGCCACTGCTGCAGCTACCTGCTGCTGCTGCTGCTGTTGCTGCTGCAGCTGCAACTTATGCTTGTGCATCTTTAACAACTCCTGTAAACACACAGATTGCAAGATAAAGATGAGCTAACTATTAAAGGTGTGATGATCTATTGATCTGGGTGGATTTATTGATTCATATCAACGATCCAATATCATTGATGCAAAGTGAAAACGTCTTGTCTTCTTCTTGTCTTTATCTTTAAGATATGCCTTTATTTTGAAATTCCCAAACATTGATTCACATTCCTAGAAGTGTAAATACACTGGTGGTGTACCTGGGGTTTGCCTACAGCCTTGATCTGTGGGGAAGCAGCCTGCTGTTGCTGTTGTTGCTGCTGCTGCTGGTGCTGTTGTAGCTGTTGTTGTCGGAGCATCTGCAGATGGGCCGGGGTGAGAGGCTTTCCTTGTGGCAGCTGCATACCTGTGGCTGGATGGAGGACAGACAGGTCAGATCTGTGAGACAGTAACAGGTACTTGAGGGATGTCTTGTCAGAGAAAGGCCTGTGGGCAGTGGAGTACCTGGTGTGACTTGAGTGACTAGTGAGCGAGTCTGCGACTGCACTGGGCTTAGAGTGGTAGAAACTACTGCAGATGCTGTCACTGGGGTAACGGCTCGTACACCCTGACCCGTAGCTATGGCGACCACCTCGGCAGGGGCAGCGGCGGCAGTGACAGCTCTCTGTTGTGCGTGGACAACCTGGGCTCCAGCTGCATTAGCAGGCTGGATGAACAACAACAAAAACAGCAACACAATGAGGAAAGGCTCCAACACTTTAAGTGGTCATTCTGTCTACAGGGTGGGTGTGGATTCTGCTTAATGCCAATACAAGGGCTGTTTGCGTCACGAATTCCTGTAAATAAGTAGGTGGCTGCATTAAGCCAGAGCAGCAGTGATAAATGAACATGACTCACAGACAGGGTGCCTGGTATGACTGGAGATGCCAGGCGTTTGTTGGCCTGGAAGGGACTTGGAGGAACTCCAGCGACTGTGTTCACAATCACATTCCCCCCTACAGTGGCTGGAAGAAACAAACAGAAATAAATTAACTACTGGAACACCAACCGCTCTGTAATGTGGACCATATGTGTGTCAGCGTACCAGCCTGGATGGTTGTGCCCACAGTGGCATTTTTTATGGCTCCAGCCTGAAAAACATGAAATGTATGAGTAAAGGCCTTCATTGGGTAAAGTGGCTTGTTTTGGATCTCACTGTATGTAGAAGAATACTGGATGTTTTGATTCTCACCAGAACAGCTGCATTAGGCACAGCAGCAGCTCCGGCCACTGTGGCAGCCTGAGGGACCTGAGCCTGGGCTTGGCCAGCGGCGGGAGTCTGGGCCTGGCCTGGTGCAGCCTGGGCCTGGGGAGCTCCAGCCTGCTGCTGGGCCAACTGCTGAGCCTTCTGCTGCTCTGCAAGGGCCTGCAAACACACACAATGCAAAGTCAATCAAAAATGAAAACTAGCGTTGTCAAAAAGATCGATTTATTAAAACATATCAAGCATTTAAATACTTGTTTTCTACAGTACCATTACACCAGTACCAGGAACTCTTTCTCGCTCTGTTATAGTTAATATTTACCAGTCATTCTGCTGTTCTCTGCTACTTACCAAGAAAAGCAAAGTTGTTGTCATGCTATAGCCTTGTTACATTTAATACTTTGATGAAATTAAAATGGTATGCCCCCAATGTCTATTTTTGTCCATGGTAAAGAAAATAGTATTGAATATCGATATTTTTCAAGGCACTGTTTCAAAGTTAGATATTCCAGTTTTGTGACAACAACAATGCAAACATGTCAATGAAGATGAAAAAGAGCGCCACTTGGATCTGACAGGGATGAAACACAAAGTGGGCGCTCATGATTCATGCTAAACGTCAACAATTACATTGCCAACAATCACCTTTTTCTCCTTGGCAATCCTTTCAGCACGTTGAGATGCCACCTGAATGGGAGGCAGGGGCTTGTCATAGCTGATCCCGCTGAAGAAGAGAATTTTTTTTAAATTTATATGTATATTTTTTTATCAGATTTGAGGAATAGATATTAAAAGTATAAAAATGGCAACTAAACACACCTTTCTGCCAAAACCGAGGCATGTTTGGGATTCTTCTGGAATGGATTCATGCCAAGCCTGTAAGTAGTATAAATTCAATTAATTTATTAAGGGAATGTAGCATCTGAACCTGATTTTCTTGAGATAGACAAAAACTGCATGAATTTCCTGAAATGAAAGCCTGTCATGAAAAGCTTGTTTTCAGTTTTGTTAATCTCCTGCTTTGGTGTTAGCTCCGTGGTGAGACTTCTGCATTCATTGTAAACAGAGATTCATCAGTACTTACAGTGGTTTGATTGGTGGACTTCTCTTGCTAGCGATGATCTTCATGAGTTCAAAGCGGCTGTTGTAGAGCTGAATGTGAGTGGCATTGTCATCCTGTGTGTAGATCTGACAGGTCCTTAGAGGGCGGCTGTTCTTAGACTGAGTGAGTACAAAGACATGGTACAAAGAAAAACAAAAAACAATAGTTAGGCCGGGAATTCGAGAGAAAAGAAACATTTATCAAATACAAAGGCCAGGATAGTGTACCTTGTATATGCTCTTGGTTTTCTTCTTGGGGTTTGCCTCATACACCAGCTGCAGTAAAGTTAGACATGATTTAGACAAACAAGTATAAAGTGAGTAAGCCAAGTAGTGTGACTCTGCCTTCTCTCTCTCCTTCTCTATTACCTTGCCCTCTTCTCTGGGAATGATGACATTCTCATAGCGGTTGCGACACTGTTTGGGCGATCGGTAGATGCGGCTGCATGAGTTCACCACATCGCTCACCAGATCCCAGTTAGGAGTGTGGGCAGGAGACACGATTGTCAGGTTCAGAGGCAACTCCAGCAGCTGCTTTACAGCCTGTCAGACACAGTGATATTTGGACATTGAAAGCACACATAGTATAACTTGTTTTATTACGTAAAGTGCAATTCAAGATGTATTCATTTCCATCAACACATCTGGAAAGGAAGATCAACATGGAAGCTGATAGTGGAGCCAGTACCTGAAGCAGAGCCCAGTCCTCACTGATGAGCCACTCGGGGTTGTCCTGGCCAGCCTCCATGGCAGGTTTAACCAGCGAGGGTAGGGGTTTGGCAAAGGGCGCTTGCTGCTTGAGGGAGAAGTTCTTTTTCTGGTCCTTGCCCTCTCGGCGAACTTTGAGCATGCTGGCCTTTTCGAAAAGTGAGCGTGGAGGAATGACCGTCTCCCCATGGCCCTTCTTCTTCTTTCTGGCTGCTGCTAGACAAACACACTCCAGTGAGGACAGAGAAAGCAAACTAACCTGCAATAACACTTCATGTATCTATCTTTAAAAAATATATCTATTAAAATACACATTTACTCCAGATTTTACAACAATTCCTTGTCTGAAACCAGACAAAACTACTGTTTAGAGCAAAACCAAATATTCTCAGTAAATATATATATATATAACTAAATATGTAGTGCAGGACTGACGTATTGTTGTACAAAGGAGTAAATGAAGACCTTGACAACAAATCTTGTTTTACCTGAGGGGTCCATCTTGAGTCTCTTGTGCTCCTTGCGGATGTAGATCGGAGGCAGCTTGGACTCTGGCATAGGTGTGGTGTCATACATCAGCATCATCACAGAGTCGATATAAATGTCATTGTCATCCTGTGGTGGTGTGGGTGGAGTCCAAAGCTGTGTTGGAAAATCACAAGTCAGAATATAGACAGAAGACAGGGTGGGAGTTCATGATATGCCTCAATACAAATAAATGAAACTGGGAGGAGAACAGCAAAGATCCAAATTCAGATAATACAAGGATTTATGTAAAATGTTCACATATAATCAATTTATCAACTGATCAAATCAATTTATTAGACACAGCTTAAAACATTGTGCATAATTTAACTGCTTTCTAATTACATCACATTTGGTGTCTTACCGGCATGATTTCTGTGTGGCCGTCCTCGGCATCAAATACATACTCCTGTTGAAAGGCACAGAAAAGGTTAATGTCAACAACTGTGCAGCACAATCCACGCACCACTTCTCGTTTGATTAGCAGAGATCACAATGGCCACCCACCATGTTGTAGGCATCCTCTCTGGTGTAAGTGAAGAGATCTTCATCTCCCTCCATAATCTGCCGCTCCTCCTCCTCCTCCTTCAGCTTCTGCAGCTGCTGCTGCTCCCAGCCTCTCTTAGAGCACTCCAACTGCTCCTGAGGAACATAAACATGAATTAATCAGTCAGATTTATTAAGGGACAAATGGTGCACTTATACCAACACAGTAGAGTAGAAACGATTAGTTGATAAATGGACTGATTTCCATATCTATACTACTGTAAATCTGTAAATATATGCCTCAAGTCTGTGTAATAAAAATCTTTGGTTACATTACAGTTGAAGTTACCTTGAGAGCAGTTTCATTGTCACTGATGTGGAGGTACTCCAGGTAATGCAGGGCATACCTTTCAATTGGTGTGAGCTGTTTATGAGAAGGGAAGCAAATGTAAAAATATTTGTTTGCATTATTCATTTTATTTCAGTGTTTTTCTTGTATTTTCCAGGATACATTAAAAAAGTAAAGCTACCTGTTCCATGACTGCATTCAGCTCTTCTTTCTGAGCAGGCTCCTCTTTAGCTTGGCTCTCTGACTCCTGGTTGTCCTCTGCTGACTCCTTCCCTACCAACTCCTCGTCCTGTTGCTCTTGCTCTTCCTCCTCTGGCAGGGCATCCAGATTAATGCTGTGGAGAGCCTGGATGTAGGGTCTAGCAACTCTGGGAGAAATGGCCTCAGAGGCAGATGGCTCCTGGTGAAGAACCACAAACTCCTCCACCTTCTCCCCCGAGCCTGCCTCCACCTCAAACAGATCTTGGATCGTCCGCTGAAAACACAAAGTATCAGGTCAGTTACTAAATGTCCCAGGCTTTCATGTATTTTTCATATATCAAGCTTTAAGCAAATATAAGGATTAAAGTGTGTACTGTTTCGAAACTCCAGGACAAGACCACAGTGAGTTCATCTTACTTGTGTGAGGAAAGCCAAGGTGTAGTCAGTTCCCTGGGCAGCAACCTCTCTGATCAGGTCCTTAGTGCCATTCTTCAGTAGCTTCTCTTCAATGGAGTTCCCACTCTCCAACCTGGGAAACACACAAAAAATAAGCAAGAGTAGCACCAAAGTCCTTAAATATCAGTGTTTAGTAAGGGATCTCTCATCAGGATTTTTGGGGCTGTTCAACAATCACTGGAAGCTGTATTGGCGAATACCCATGACTGATCATGAAGTCTATCTGAAGGTATTTAGCGGGTAGCATTATTTATTTATTGAACTGTTCTGAACAACATCGGAGATTTAAGAGTTGCATAATGTTGCTATTCACAGTAGGATCTGTGGATAATAAGGGCATTGCTTTTGGAAAGAAAAGTAGCTGTTGGATTTTTGAAAAATGATATCTTCAATGCTTTGAATGCTACAAACAGACATCACAGCCACCTCCAATGTGCTGGAGTGGAGATTCAGAGATAGAAATTTCACAACTTGGCCACATTAAACAAAATCTACCAACATTGTTGGACACAATCAGAGATAAATGAGATTTTTCTTTCCAACTTGGGTGAACCAAACCTTCCAAAATACACTATGCAGGCTTTTACTAAAAAAAACAATGGATAGATTCAGACTAAAGTAACCCTTCTCAATCATCTCTTATGACCCACCAGAGGTGTGTGGCAGTGTATTTTTCTGCAGAGACTCTGCACTCTGCCTGTACTTTCTTATTTTCTGTGTTAGGGACATTTATGGTCATTCACTCATATCAGGTGAGGTCTAGACTTTATAAAAAGGTGGCGACCACGTGCCAGACCATATGCAGCAGGCATATAAGAGACAAAGTGCTGAAAACACACAAGTATAACGAGGCAAAAAGCCAAATGAAAGTGAATCTGAGGTTGGTTTTTACTATCACTTTAGCTGGCAAACGCGTTTACAAACTATAACCCACGATCCTGCCTAGTATGACCGTGCCACTACAACCAAAAGACAAATTAAATGTATAGAGTAGGTCTGTTAAGTACAACATATAATCACAATCACAAGTTAAAATACACAACCAGTTTTCTGTGTGGGTTATTTTCAGAAGTTGAATCGACTCTGTTCCATTGAGATGTTACAAGCAATCTAATCAGCCCTGCATTTTCAGTCAAAGATACAAAACGGTTCAAATCCTAAAGAAATGCAGATGAAAAAGACCTGGTATATTAAATCAGATGCCATGACAGTATTATGGGCATGAGCAGGACAAAACAAAGCTAAATGTTAAGTGTTCTGCAGCATTTAGTGCAGTGCGTGTATAAGCAAAGAGAGATGTCTGTCTGCACTTAGTACAGGCAGATGAGCTGGATGTCAGGTTAGCAGTAAACCATGACTGTAACAGTGAATGCTCAATGTGAGCTTCAGTTTGACAGAACCACCAGACCAGTGAAGCCATTTCAGCGGCGCCTAAAGAAATTGCCTTGTGTCATTTGATCGGTCTTGATAGTCACCGTCAATCAAACTATTTAGAATGAATATCACCCAATAACACTCAGTGGCCAATCAACTGGACAATCCTTAATATTTATAAGAAGGTTATATCTACAGTTTTGCAAGTAATGAGTTAAGGAACATTAAAATGAAGAAAACCTAAAACACATTTCCCTGTATTAATAATATCACCTGTATATGTGTATATCCTTGGAACGTCCTATTTTGTCACACCACTCCTGGGTGCGGGCGTCCATGCTGGGATTGAGGTCTGTGTCGTAGAAGATGATGGTGTCTGCATCAAACAACGTCCCAACAGCAGAGCAGCAGCGGTTGGTCAGGATGCTGCAGAACACCTTCCTGTTCCTGTTAAACTTCTTCATATTCTCCTGAAAAGACACAACATTAAGCACATGAACAGACTGGAAAAAGGCTAAAAAAGAAGCTGTTGACAATACACTTTAAGAATTACACTTATTTCACACTTGGAATAAATTATGCAGCAGCAAATAGAAAAGACCTAAACCCATGAGCCCAGACGGTGATCTCATTGTCCCTTTGTTGAGCCAGAAATGTCTATGAACAGGTTCAAACTACAATATAAAGTCAACAGATAAATGTATCTGTCCATGTTTAGTAACAACAGTACTTCATACTTTTTGTGGTTTAAAAGTTTAATGGTGACCAAAGACAGAAGCAACCTTGAGGATGACAGGGCCCTTCAAACAACTGAGTTGTTACTGATCGATGTAACATGTGACCCGTTCTTGGGTCTCACATGACTTTGCTGTCACATGATGATATAAAACTTGACCTGCACATAAAAGGTATGAAGAACGTTCTTGGATCACGAGGAGGACAGATAGAGAATCTATATACACTTTTGCACTTCAAAGCACATGCTTGCCCACTACCAGTCAACTGTTATACCTGGTCCCATTGCTCTCCATGACAACAGTTGATGCTATAATTAGACACATCAATTCTAGCAACACAATGGCAGATTTTTGATGCAGGTAATGCTGACTTAGCTTCAGCTTTGAAGCTTGTTGAGTTTGGTTTGTCAGAACCAGTGTAAGTGGTGGTGAATTTACCTCTCGTTCATCAGGGGTGAAGCTTTCATCGACCCGCACATAACTGAGCTGCCTGTAGTCTAGGAAGGTCTCCAGGATGTCTAGCATCTTCACCATCTGAGTAAAGATGAGGACGCGGCGGTTTTCTGACCTAAGCTTCTGTAGCAAAATGGCAAGAGCTTCCAGTTTACCTTTGGAAAAGAAAAATATCAAAAGTTATTATTCCTGGCAAGGTCAGACGCTTAACTTTGCAGCTGAGGTACACCCTGCTGGAACACCACAGAAAGGTTTACTTTAGTTGTATAGTGACAGTGACTACAAAGAGTATAGAGGCCCTCATTTATTAATATAACACACAAACCAGTGCAGAAATCATCTAATGATAGGATTCATGCGTTATCCATGACTGTACGTTCAGTCTTCTGTCGTACATTTGTTTTATAACTGAGGGCCAGTGTCTGCTAATTTACAGGTGCAGTTTTTTCTGTAATCCCAACAGTTTTTACAATAGTTACACTGGCTTGGAATACTGGATCCGAGTAAAGGAAAAAGGCCATTTACCCCAATTTTTCATTGTGTTTTACATTATATTTTTTCTTTAAACAGTTCCGACAAGCACACAGATGACATGAGCACTGTTTCTTTTTATTTCTATTTAAATATTGTGTTTACAGGTGACTGCATTTCCTGTGTACAAGAGACAGAGTGTATGGACAGCCTGTTCTTCTGTTTGAAGAAAGCTACACTAAGCCAAATATGGAATGAGTCATTCACTCTGTGTAGGCAGAAGGATAACAGTGATGTTTCTACATAAATATTGGTTTAGTTAGTAACATTGTAAAAACTGATACATGTTTTTAGGTCATTCATTTTGCAGTCCCAGCTTGCTGCATTCCAAAAAAAAAAACAACAACAAAAAAAACAAAAACAAAAACAAAACAAAAAAAGATGCTAGACTAACCTGAGTCCATCTGCATTAGCTGCAGGTCAGAAAAACAGAGGAGACGCCTGGAAGCCAAGTGGTGGATGTCAGCACTGTGGGGGGCAGAGGCCTCCTGTAGCCGACAGTGAAGGGACTTCTGCTCAAGGCTGTAGGGAACTGGGGGATTGGCTGCATACAGGTGAGGAGGTGGGGCTACAGCTGGAGGCACCACACATACCAGCCTAAAACATGACAACAGACAAACATTATTTGGATTGAGAAACATATGGCACTGAATTGTGGTGAAAGGTAAGTTGTTAGTTTATTTTACAAAGATGATGGTAGAAATCATGTTTATTTTTAATACTGCAGCAAAAGTGTTGTTTTACCCGACCAATGCAGTTCTAACAACATGGCCAGTAAACTACACATAACCACAATGAATGGCTTTATAAGGTGTTTTATGATGGCCTCAAACTTCATGTGCAGTAAAGATTTCAGGAGGCTTCTTTACTGAGCTGAAGTACCTCTTGATAAGGCTGTTGGCAGCCTCCAGGCGGTCCTCCACAGAGAGCAGAGTGGACTGCAGTGTAGAGGTGGTAGCCACGCAGGTTCTCTGGGCCCTGAGGCAGCTCTCTCTGCCCACCCACCTCCAGCCTCCAGCAGTCAGGGCAGAGTGACCAGGTTCTGTGCTCAAAGTGCACGCCTGCAGCAGGTCTGAACCGTACAGCACTCTGCGGCTACAGCGTCGCTCGTTTGCCTCAAACAGACGGGTCAAACGTTCCTTCAGCTTTTGAGTCTTTTCTTCTGAAGACTCCTGATCATTACATTGAGAGATGGTACACACAAAAATTTAGTTTGCATGCTGTAAAATGTTTCAGGCATCATAAACATGACTTTGCTTGGTGGTGTACTGACCTGAGAGCCCGCATGAGCTGCAGCAGTGAGCTTGGTGGGAGATGATGTGGCATTTGTTGTTACACCCAGTGCTTAAAAAGAAATACAGAACGTCAATAGAAGAATAAAATTTCAATTCATTAAAGCAGCGCTATTGCAATTGCCAGTGTTTAACCTAATGGGGATGAGGTAGCATTTTATGTCACACAAAACCTATTAACTTTCACCATTATAATCATACTGGTACTAGATGATGTTACTAAATAACTGATTAGGAGACAGTCAAATAGAGATAATAATGCAATATTTTCACTGTGAATGAGTCACCTTGTTGGGCTGTTGACAGAGCGGGATGAGGTGTGCCAGGTGTAGATGAGGCGTTGGAGGCAGGGACAGCCTGTGGCATTGTTTGCATTACCATGGATCCCTGAGGCCTGATGATCTGCTGCCCTGGAGCTGACACAATCTGCAGGATGTTGCCTAAATCCATGACACAAATTAAGCAACAAATGTAAGAGGTGCACTCTCAAAACCCAACACTAGCTTGAGTGGCAGTTAGGATTCACATGGCCATTAAAATACATGTGAAAAATAAAACAATGCTTATTGATTTAAATCCAATTGGACTTTAAGACAAAATCTTCAATCTTCAATCTTTAATTGTATCCAAGGTATACTGACAGCAGGTAACAGAAAGACAGGAAATAAGGGGAGAGAGGAGGATGACATGCAACAAAAGTCCCCTGCTATAATCAAACCAGCGAAGTTGCAATTACAGTCAGGTCCATAATTATTTGGACAATGATACAGTTGTCATCATTTTGGCTCTGTACACCACCACAATGGGTTTTAAATGAAACAATGAATACCTGCTTAAAGTGCAGACTCTAAGCTTTCATTTAAGGCTTTTTTCAAAAATGTAGTATGAACCGTGTAGGAATTACAACCATTTCTTCACACAGTCCCCCAACTTTAAGGGCTCATAAGTATTTGGACAAACTAACATAATCATCAATTAAACAGTCAGTTTTAATACTTGGTTGCAAATCCTTTACAGTCAATGACTGCCTGAAGTGTTGGACACATAGGCATCATCAGATGCTGGGTTTCTTCCCTGGTGATGCTCTGCCAGCCCTTTACTGCAGCCGTCTGCACTTCCTGCTTGTGTTTTGGGTGTTTTGCCCTCAGTTTTGGCTTCAGCAAGAGAAACGCATGCTCAATTGGATTCAGGTCAGATGATATGACTTGGCCACTTCTTTGCCTTAAAAATGTCTTTGGTTGCTTTTGCAGTATGCTTCAGGTCATTGTCCAACTGCACTGTGAAGCATCGTCCAATGAGTTTTGAAGCATTTGGTTGAATCTGAGCCGATAATGTAGCCCCAAACACTTCAGCTTTCATCCTGCTGCTCTTGTCAGCAGTCACATCATCAATAAATACAAGAGAACCAGTTCCACTGGCAGCCATACATGGCCATGACATAACAGTACCTCCACCATGCTTCACTGATGAGGTGGTGTGCTTTGGATCATGAGCAGTTCCTTCCCTTCTTCCTTCTCTTGTCTTCCCATCATTCTGGTAGTTGATCTTTGTTTTATCTGTCCATAGTATGCTGTTCCACAACTATACAGGCTTTTTAGATGGTTTTTGACAAACTCTAATCTGGCCTTCCATTTTTAAGGCTAACCAATGGTTTGCATCTTGTGATAAACCCTCTGTATTTATTCTAGTGAAGTCTTGTCTTGCTTACAAGAGCAGCAGGATGAAAGCTGAAGTGTTTGGGGCACCATTATCTGCTCAGATTCAACTAAATGCTTCAAAACTCATTGGACGATGCTTCACAGTGCAGTTGGACAATGACCTGAAGCATATTGCAACCATAAAGCAACCAAAGTCATTTTTAAGGCAAAGAAGTGGAATGTTCTGCAATGGCCAAGTCATATCATCTGACCTGAATCCAATTGAGCATGCGTTTCTCTTGCTGAAGCCAAAACTGAGGGCAAAACACCCAAAACACAAGCAGGAAGTGCAGACGGCTGCAGTAAAGGGCTGGCAGAGCATCACCAGGGAAGAAACCCAGCATCTGATGATGCCTATGTGTCCAACACTTCAGGCAGTCATTGACTGTAAAGGATTTGCAACCAAGTATTAAAACTGACTGTTTAATTGATGATTATGTTAGTTTGTCCAAATACTTATGAGCCCTTAAAGTTGGGGGACTGTGTGAAGAAATGGTTGTCATTCCTACACGGTTCATACTACATTTTTGAAAAAAGCCTTAAATGAAAGCTGAGAGTCTGCACTTTAAGCAGGTATTCATTGTTTCATTTAAAACCCATTGTGGTGGTGTACAGAGCCAAAATGACGACAACTGTATCATTGTCCAAATAATTATGGACCTGACTGTACATGGTATGCGTCTTAAGCTGAGGCCATCAGGCACTTTCAATGCCCTGAGGTGTTATAGACAAGTAGAATAAGCATCCATAATTTCATGTAAAGGTCAAGATGTCAAAGGGTCAGAAAACAGATAACTAAGTTGAGATAAAAGTGTGACAATGAGATGTACTTTACCGAGTGTACCTTGGAGCTGCAAGGGTTGTCCAGTGGTGAGCTGGCGGAGCTGGCTGGGGGACAAAGTGAACTTGTTTCCCTGAAACTGCAAAGTGACAGGAGTCTCTGGCTGGGAGATACGATTCTGACTGCCTGCAATGTTGGCCAACTGGGCAATCTTCACCACGTCTCCACCTTCAATGGAAAGAACAGACAATTCATCAAAGACAGCATTAAAAAGTCAGCTGAAATGTCAGACAGTGTAATAGGAACAAAACCATATGCTCTGCATCAGTTAGTTAAAGGGTGAAAAAGAGACAAGACATGCAGAACCAGGGTGGATTATTTAGAGGAACGAGCACAGCCGCCCTCCACAACAGAACCATAGCAGCTCCTACTTTAACAAACCCTGAAGGGAAAAGAAAATGGCTGTAAGGGCAGTCCTCAGGTGAGACAGAGAGCCTGAAACATACACATACATAAAGCATTGAACTTGATGCCTTTTCATGGAGGTAGACTTAGGGATGGTGATACCCTGTCAATTAAAAGTCTTTGAACACCCCCTATTAATCAGTCACTACTATTATGATAATTAATCAATCTTTTAAAAGGATAATTATTGTTTTCATTTTGATGGGCATGTGGAAACACTGGTTTACCCTTTTAAGACATTTTAGATAAAGCAATGTGCTCATTCTGGTAGGCCCTTACATTAGAAAATGTATGAGAGAAAAGAGGTGCAAATGAGAAATTTATTGGTTATAAACCTTCTCACGTAATACATTTTTGGAAATTAATACAGTACAAAGACAAGATAATTCAAACTGATAAACTTTTTTATCATTTCTTTGTGTCACATTTCTTTGTGTCACTTTGTGTCAGTCCATCTCAGATGAGCTTGAACCCAGAGAAGTCCTGCCTTTCTGGATGTTGTTGATGATATCATGGACTATAGATGGTGAAAACCCCAAAGTTCCTGCACTATTTCTTGGACTATTTGCCCAAACAGGTTTTCACAAAGTGGTGAATATTGCGCCCTTCTTGTTTGTGAACAGCTGAGCCTTTAGAGGATGTCTTTTTATACCCAATCATGATACTATCACCATTACAAATTCCCAAGTTTACCTGTGGAATGTTCCAAACAGATGTTTTTGAGCATCCCAAAACTTTCCCAGTTCTTTGTTGCCCCTGTCCTAACTTTTTGGAATGTGTTGCAGGCATTAAAATCAGAATGAATGAATATTTACGAAAAACAATAAAGTTAATCGGTTTAAACATTGAATATCTTGTCTTGTATGTACTGTATTCAACTGAATATAGATCGAAAAGATGTTTGTTTTACATTTTGTCCCAACTTTTTTGGGAATTGGGGTTGTATTTTGAGTTTTGGTTGTAAACTCAGTTATTTTCTTCACCCTTTAACAGACTGTCATATTCAAAAGTTATTAACTGCATGAAGTATTAACAAGAACACATTGCCATTTTGTGGGCACAAGATATTAGTGTGCATGAATCATTAAGTTGAGTTTATGTCTACTGATATATATATGTTCACAGACTATCAAAACATTTACTTTCTGGGCTTAATTGACACATAAACAATGTTAACTTTAAGAATCATATTCAAGGGGTTTCAGCAACCTTAGTTCCACAAAGTTGGAAATTTAGAAACAGCAGAAGCCAATGAGATAAGCCAGTGAATAATTAATGTGTCTATATTCTGATTCTGTGTGTTGTTATTGAAAAGGTTTCTCTGTTCACATTTAAGGCGGGAAGGGTTGGCAATTTGTGGGACCATTTCAACATGCTTTACAGTGATGCTCAACATCAGAGTGAAATCATAACATTAGCAAAGAAATAAAACAAAACAACCAAAGCTTTGGGCTTCCTGCAGCTGGGCTGATGCAAGAGACAAAAGAATATTAGTAAACTGGGAGAAACAAAATTATTAAAAGAAGGGGGAGGACATAATAATTAAGTTAAACAGTGTCATGATGTGTGGTATAACATAAGTGGGTTGTTCATAGTGTACATGCAGGTTTGGAGAAAGAAATTGGAGAATGCTGAGGCTGTGGAGATGCTGCTGATATGGCTACAGATCTGATCATACAGGGAGATTTTTTTCATCACGAGTTGTATAACTATTGATAAATGTCATCTCTGCCATGAGCAAAATTGCTGCACCACCAGTGCTGCTACCATTGCAAGTTTGAGTCTATGTCTGGACAAGTGAAGACTGAACACATATCAGCAGTGCCCCAAGTAAAGGCCTCAGTGTAGAGCAGCCCATACTCTTGTGCCAGAGGTGGAGGGGAAATGCTGAGAGGGAGGGGAGGCCACTTACTAGGCAACCGTGCCTGGGCCTGAGATGTAAGAACCAGCCTCTGGGACAGTAAGCTTGGCTGGATGGCATGGCTGGGGGCTAGAGCTGGCCTGGGGACCTGTGCTAATGCTGGCTGGCCGATGGGAGCAATGGATCCCACGACTGTGCCAGCTAAGGTCTGGCCCAAGGCCACAGAGGCAGCCCCCAACACATGCTGCCCAATGCCACTGTTCCCAGAGGAGGCTACAGTGGAGGCGGCAGTGTTGCTGCTGCTGCTGACAGGAGGGGTAGTCTGGGCTCTCTGAGTAGCTGTTCCAACCACTGTGAAGTACAAGGCAATGGGGTATGGGACTACATGTTAGGGGAACCCAATATTCAGTCAGATTATCAAAACGAACAGTTTCCTCCATATAAATCACTCAGCAGTAGTGGGCCAACACAGCAAGCATGATTAGAGATGTTATTAATAATTATAAACAGACTGATCACTGTTAGGGATGCACCGATTTTTTGGCCTAACATTGGTAATGGATAATATTGACCTTGTTGACAGCCATAGGGCTACCACCAAACACGCTGACATTCACAGATGGCAGCGGACTATGTTTTTTTGTTGTGTCACATAATTTTGCTCAGGCTACAAAGCAGAGCTTGAGACCAGTACCCTTTTTCCACGCTTATGCACTGGCTTGGCTTGGCTTGGTTTGAGCCTTTACAGTGGCAGGGTTTGTGGCTCCATTACAACAGGGCTACCTGCTTGAAGGTGTGTCTTTAACTGATGACGGCTTGTCTTGAGTGACAATGTTTAAAAGCAGCAGGCTGATGGCTAAAGGTCCCCCATTATTTTGCTGCAAGTGTTTTTCTATCACACAGCAGGGCAGGTAACAGAAATGTATCTGTTGAGTGTAAGCTGTTTGCAGAGGTGCAGTAAAAGCCTGTTGTCTGCAGCTCTTCATCTAACATCCTACTGTGACTGTGCTTATTCTCTTTCTCCCTGCGGTATTAACAGACTTGTTTTTACTGAAGAAAGACAGCTAACAAAGCTCTGCTAATTTGGTATTAAACACATTTAATTTTCTATAGATTCTTCAAAACAAATGTCCCTTGTGATTTTGTTATGTAAATGCTTGTACTGTGAAGCAGCAAATAAGGAAATGTTGGGTTTTCATCAGCAATAACTTAACACGACTCCTTACGGCTGAAAGCGACCAGGAAACAGTAAAATAAAGTAGATATAATAAATACAATCAGGGACGCAGAGGAGAACTAAACTCCAAACCATAGAGATTCAGTTAGAAGCTACAAAAGTATTGAGAGCTAAACACACAAACACTTTTAAAATCATCTTTATCTCTGGTCTCTTGCGCAGAGACCTGAGTTGAGTCTCTTAAGACACGCTTGTTTCTGGGGGAGAAGGGGGATCGTCGGGGGTTGGATGCGGTCAGTAAGATGTCATTGCTACCTGCTTAGAGGCAGTTAGGCATGCTTTTGGCCCTTCACCAGAGATGGTCCAGCTTTAGCGCAGCACGGATCAGTGCATCTTAACCGATAACGGAAAGACAAATCAGCATGGTTTGACTTGGTGCAACCGAATGTGGTAAAGGAAAAAGGGTATAATGTGTCCCAGCTTCCCAGGGACAACAGAAAATGTGCTGTGGATGAACAGAGATCCTTTGTGGTACACCTTTGTTATAAAAGGACACAGGAAACTCCCTATTGACACATCAAGGGACGCACCATATTTTTTACCTAATAATGCTACATTATGCAGAAGAGAGCTAGTTAATGTTGGCCGTTAGCAGATGGTTCAGCTCGTGGAGGAGGCCTTGACTTATAACGTAATATGTTCAAGCTCTATTCAGTAGAAATGAGTATTGAGCAAAGGTAAATTAGAACGTTATCATGATGTGTTCATATGTTGTAAAATGAACTTTTTTTTGCCATTTTTATAGTAATATAAAAGTTATTAGAGAGGGTATTATGATTTACAAAGTAAAAAGGCTTTTGAGGCAGGTATTAAAAAGATGTTTTTCATGAGAGAGAAGATTATATTAAAGGTTATTTCATAAAGTTGTGTGATCATTCAAAGGTAGTGTCATTGAGGGCTGAACGACATTAAAACAGTTATTTTAATTTTTAAATGATTTCTTTGTTTCCCTGGCACAAAACTGTGAAAAATTGACAAGAAAATATGAAATATACAACAAAGGCAAAAAAAAACCCCATTGGGATCAGTTTTGGCTACTTGCCAAATTGTCCTTTTGAACATTGGTATCAGACCAGAATTTCACAATTGGTGCATCCCTAATAACTGCTAACAATCTGATTCATGAAAAGTTTTAACCTGACAATGAACAAAGTCAGTGCAACTGTAATTGTGTATCCCTGGAACATCACTTCCATCTGTGTGGGTGTATTCAGTGACAGCCAATTGTCACTTAAAAAAGTAAGTTCCTTTTGCCTGCAGCTCTTCATCTAAAGCATTTACTATGACTGTTGCTTCTTGTTATTATATCCTGACTGTGCGGCTATGAGGACAAAACAACAAGGCCAGCCCACCACTGCTGCATTGAAGCATAAATCTAAACAAATGAAACCTCTGTGACCCGTGAATCTAGCCAGTGACAGTGTCCCAAACCTCTCCATTATGCTGAAGGAGGAGAAACTGACCTTTAAAACGTGCCGTACTGTGCAAAATTATGTACACACTGTACATGTTTTTAAAGTGTGCTGAAAATGCTATGGGCACAGCCTAATTGTTTTTTTAAGCATGACAAAGTAAATCAGGTTCATCTGAATCCAAAACAGTGTCGAAATCATGCAGCATAACAGTATATATAACACAAGGTTAAAACTAGTATAAGCACATTAGGTAAAGGGCCAACAAACATCTATGGGCAGTTAAGTTGGTCTTTTAAAGTTTGACGTTAGATGACACCATCCGAAATCCTTAGCCCACTGTGAAAACAAAATGTTTTGACCTGTACTGAGCACCACTCCTGAAATGGTCTTACCGTGGGAAGTGGCTGTAGTAGTTGCAGTGGTGACAGGGGACTTTCCCCTGGCCTGGGCTGCCTGGGTGGTGCTGGAGGCAGAGGTGCTAGTAGTGGGAGAGCTCGTTGGAGGACGCTGGCCTGGTGCACTTGTGATGGCAGCCAGGCGACCTTCTGGCTTTGTCCCATACTGCACTGGCTGGAACAATCTAATCAGACAAAAAAGATCAATATTATATCATTACATAATTACAATACAAGCAATTTTGAAATATCCATCAATCACCACATTAACCATGTAAAGTTACTTAGACATTTTAATGCTGACCTCATGGGTTTTATCGGACATGGCTTGGGTCGTGCAGGTGGATCTGGGCCAGCATGGATCTCCTCTATGAGCTGCTGAGTGACCTTTAGTTTGGGTACTGTCTCTTCAGTCTGATACCGAGTCAGTCTGTTCTCGTTATTGATCAGATCAAATATGGACATGTCTGCAATCTAGGAGGATGATGAAATGAAAGACAAAAGCAGAGGCGGATCAATGCAGATTGATTATTAAATCTTTTGAGGAGATTCAACACATGCACAAGGTTCAAAATAAGAATAAGGAATTATGTGATATTAAAAAGATTAAAATGATAGGCAGGATTTCAAGAAAGAAACAGACATGCAAACAAATATAAGAACACAAAGTATTATAAGGGAGACCAATGTATTCAACTAGAAAGAAATCATACTTACTTTTATAATCAATTACTAGATCAACTTTTTTTATCCAACTGTTTTAACTTTAAAAAGTCAAACAATAATGACAAATGCCAATCACAAGTTGCCAGAGCCCAAGTTATGTCTCAATACAGCTCATTTTGACTGTCCAATGATACTAATGCAACAAGGCATGGTATCTATTTAATAATGTGATAAAACATAGAAAGGCAAAAATAACCTTTTTATTTCAAAAATACCCAAATCCTTCATAACTGTATTCTGACAAATTACTTCAACACACTTGCCAATTAGGTTGTAAACACATAATTATCGAGTGACAGTAAAACAGCAGTGACAAACATGAGGGCTGGCAGCAAATCAGCGATGCAAGTAACAAGTATATACCTTGCTCAAGTCATTCTGAAGAGCTCCCAGCACCAGTGATGGCACGTTGTATGGCAGAGAAGAGCCAAAGTAGGAGCTGCTGCTCTCCCTGGGTGCCACCAGCTCAGGGTGGTTACACACTCGCTGTAACTGCATCAAGACCTGAAGCACGCTGACAAAATGACCTGTCTTCAGAGCCTCCTGAGCTCTAGGGGAGCACACAGAGACAGAAGACATGATTAAGAACAGTCCCAAACAATAGAAAGAACCAATCAATACTACACAACAATGTACATAGTGTCACATTATACAGTATCTTTCATCTTTTTACAAAACAGCAGATAATAAAAAAGGTACTTCTCAGTACAGCCTATGTGTTAAAGCTAATCTTAAATCATGTTTTGGTACTAGTGGCAAGAAAATTATTAGGTACATAAAAAACAAGATTAAACAGTGATTCATTTGTAAATTACCCCTGAGTTACGGTATAGTGGGTACATTCTATCATTAGCATGTCTTCAAACTCCAGTATCTGTGTAAAGCCCAGTTCATTCATGGTGAGATTATCAATTATTACTCTCACTGCCAGGGAAAGCCTGACTTTGACATTACAATATGTTTTTTATATATATATATATATATATATATATATATATATAAAAAACGACCCATGTGGATGAAATATCTCACCCTGGTCGAGTGAGGATGTCCTCATAAAGGCTCTTCTGTCTGGTGGATAGACGACACTTTAGGATATGCTCGTACTTCTTAGGCAGCTGTTTCTCCACGTCCCTTTTAGAGCGCCTCAGGATGAAAGGCTGGATCATCTAGAGTTAAAAGTAAGAAGATTTTAATATGTGCAATGATTGCAGGTGAGACAAAATCAATCATGTTTCTGAATGTTAATGCAGCTCATTAACTCACTGAACAGAGGAATTTGCAGGCAGTATACCCACCCTGTGCAGACGAATGACCAGTTTGTGGCAGTAGTCCTGGTTCTGGTCTGTGCCTGCCTTAACAGGGAAGTCAGAGTAGGACCTGGTGATTCCTGGCAAGAGGAAGTGAATCATGGTCCACAACTCCTTTAGAGTATTCTGTAGGGGAGTATTGATGAGGAGGATCCTCTGCTCACTGCAAGATACAAAGAAGTATCTTAGTCTGTCGACTGAGCCTTTACAGATTATAAATGAATTAACAAGCTTAAAAAATTATAATATCATGTTTATCACCCTGCTCACCTTTTGAGAGCAAAGACTGTTTCCCAGTGTTTCTCAGTCATGTTTTTGATGAGCTGCACCTCGTCCAGGACCAGGTGTCTCCACCTTCTCCTCAGAAAATGGCTCTGGTCTTTCATCAGCAGCTTGTAGGACGTCAAACATACGTGGAAGCTGTTGGCTTCCCCCCACCACTGTAGATATGTGAGATGCAGATGATGTGTTATAACATTTACAGCTGTCTACTGAAAAAAAAGGCCATAGGTAATGTTACAAATGTGTGTTGTATAAATACAGCAGAACTACCATTCTCTTTGATCTGCGTTCCCTTCTGTTGCCAAGGTACAGGAGGATCTTAAGGCCAGGACACCAGCGTTTGAACTCTACCTCCCAATTTAGCAACTTGCACGTCCTTACTACAATAAGGTGGGGTCCCCAAATGCCTGTGGACAAAAACAGACGTCTTTTTGACATTCATTCGTTCAAAATTAAGAATGAAAGAAAATATTGACCATTAAAAAAATGATGTGTATCTTTGAACAGAGGCATACCCTCTTGACTGGCCAATTGGGCCATGTAAGCCACTGTCTGAACGGTCTTGCCAAGGCCTGTCTCATCAGCAAGGATGCCATTTAGGTGTTTCTTGTGAAGGTTTACGAGCCAGTCCACACCAATTTGCTGATACTCTCGCAGTGACCCATGCAGTAGAAAAGGAGCTGGGTTGCGGGTCTGGTAAAATAAAAATCAGTTTAAAAAATGATAAAAGGCATCTTTTACTTTTGTGTTTGTGTGTGTGCATGTGTGTGTCTTACTGAGGAAGTGGTCCTGAAGCTGCCCTTGGGCAGGATGAGCTCTGTGGCAGCAGCCACTTCAGCTATGTCTCTGGCAGGCTTCCCATCAGAGTCAGAGGAAGCGGCTTTATCAACACCTCGGTACTGGTCCACACTGAGCAGGGAATCAATCAACACTGCCTCGGGTGGACTGCCTGCAGGACACTCTATTTCTGAAATAATAAAGAAAACAAACTACTTCACATCCCATCCTTCACAAAACACTAGCTAAAACTGGTATGAGGATGAACATGACAATTTCATTTTTTTTTTTTTTTAATTAAAAAGGCACCTCCAGTCTCTTCCATGTCATCCTCGTCACTATGGGGACTAGGCTGGGGCCACTCAAAGCCGTCAACGTAGGCACCAGCATACTGCTTCTTCAAAGCATCAAGAGGCATCTCAGCTGAAAGCCAAATACAAAAGTGTTGGAGCAAGCAGTAGACACAAAGACAAGTAATATTGGGACTTGTATGATTTAACTATGCAGCAAAAATTTTTTAAAAAACGGTGTACTAATTTCTATTAATTTGTAATTAAATTTTGTAACACTACTCCCACCCTTATGTCTTGAGTGCCAGTACTTGCTGTGTACCACAGTGAGCCAGTTTCCTGACAATGAATATGCTGCATGTTGTGCACAAGATAGTATCGCACAAATGGGGTTTGGGAATAAACCTGTTTCTCCGGCTAAATCCTGCCCCTCCAAATAAGCATAGACAGAGAAGTTAAGTAAATAAGTACCATCTTTGGCGAGGTCAACCAGCTCTGCTTTGTGGTCTGCTTCCCCCTCCATGGCCTCCTGTTCCTCTATGGTGCTCTCTTCATCTGGGACAAAAGAGAAGACAAGTCATGAGCAGTTGCAAATAATTTTGCAGCATAATAGCAGCTGTACAGATCTTTTAATCATCCATGCTATTATTTGCTTTTTTTGCTACTGGAACTTAAATAGTTTGACATATACCATGCTCATCAGCCAAGGACGAACTTGATTTCCTTTTTCTAGCTGAAGTTGCCGCCTCCTATAAGAAGAAGAAAAATATATATATTAAAAATATATAAATAAGATGCAATAGGTGCATTTGCAAAGTAAATCATTGGACTGTCAGTGCATCAAATACCTCTTTATCAGCTTTCACTCCTGTTGACTGACCAGGTACTGTAACAAGTTAGAAAGACGAAGGTAAAGGCTCATGATATAGAGGAAACATACTGTGTTTAAGTTTTGGCTAGTTGCTCAGTGGGACATACCTTTGGCTGAGGCCTTTTGTAAGCTGAGTGCTTTGAGCCTCTTCTCATAAATTTCACACTGCAGTTTAATTTCCACAACCTGGCAGGAAAAAAAATACTTAATTAAAACTGGTAAAAAAAACAATTATTTAAATTCTTGCAGCCTTTTATAATGAAGATAACTAAATACATCAACAAACCTGCTCAATGTTTGACCAGAAGAATTCCACCTCTCGGGCAATTGTGCTGGCAATATGACGAAGATGAATTTCCCTTTCCTTCTTTGACCTCTCCTCACTTTTCTTCTGCTCTTGATGGTAACGGGCACATGTGCGAACAAGCTGTAGTGGAGACACAAGACAGTTTGGCTTACAAAAAAAAACCACATTTATTTCTGCACTGAGTCCTCTTTTTGTCGTGCTGATGAGTGTGAATTATTCCATCTGTGCCATACCTTCTTAGCAGCAGCCTCTTTCCATCTCCTCTCCTGGGCAAAGTCGGCTGCCATCCACTGCATCTCCTCCAGGAGGTAGTCCCAGTGGGACTTTGGACGTGAGGCTTCAACAAGCTTGGGGAGCCTACTGGCTGTCCATTGGCCCTCCTTTCTTAGCTCAGAGATGCGCTGATGCACTTGATTCTCCTGGGAAAGAGACACAACATGTGGCATCAGAATAGAAATCAAGAACACTCATCCTTGTTTCAATAAGAGATAAGGTGTTGAACCCCCTGATCAAAACTTAAAAAAGCATTCTCAAGAACACAATGTACAAAGGCAGAACAGAATACAAACAACCAACATCATCGGGCATTGTCAGTTATATATCTTTTCATTTTCCTTCCAAAAGTGAGTTGAGTAAAGTCAACTAAGCAGAACCACACGCTGGCAATGAAGCAAAACTAAAAGTTTATTTAAGACATTACAAGCTGCATCTGTTCAAGTCAATGTCATTTGCAGACACTGTGTGCAAACTAAGAGTGCTTGAGGAACTCACCAGTTTCGCCTGCTCAACTTGCTTATCTTGAGAACCCTCCTGTGAGGACTGCATGGTTGCACTTTGACCAAAGCCACCAATTTTGACTGCGGATATGCCATTGGTTCCAGTCAGTTTGGACTGGGTGCTTGGGTTGATGTTGGAGCCAAGAGGGCGGAGTGGAGTTGCAGTATGGGGGGTTGGAACAGCATTGGGAGCAGAAAGGGGCGCAGCAGACATGGAGGTCATGGATATTGAGTTGGTCATAATCCTCTGAACTGTTTGGTTTGATTCTGTACCCGGGCGAGCAAGTGCCACCGTCTATAATGAAAGGCAAAAACAAAAAACATTCATAATAGGACCATCTGCAGTATCACCGTTAAGTCACAAAAAATACATGAAAACTGTATTTGTATTGTTTCAAGTAGACTGACCGCTTGTCCTGACTGTAGTATAGTCTGGGATTGTTGCTGCTGGGGCTGCAACTGGAGATGAAGACCTGACTGCATCTGTTGCTGCAGCTGAGCCTGGAGCTGTGTGTGGGGGTTTACTGTGGCCAGGACAGGCCCACCTGCCTGCACCTTCACCTGTGCCTGGAGCTGACCACCAGGCTGAGCTGTGTTTTCCACTAGCTGAGCCTGCTGAGAGAGTGTCATGGACAGGCCTGCCATAGGGAGGGCACCTTGGGCCAGTCTGCCAGGCAGCTGGGGTGGAGGGGTGTGCAAGCTGGCTGCATTCTGCACTGGAGGTCCTTTGGATGGGTCGTATTGTTGCTGGTTCTGCTTCTGTCCTGCAATCTGGACCGCTTGAGGAGTAGGCGGCATCCCGCCTGTACACATAGTGACCAAATTATAGGACATACAAAGGGGTGGTATAGAAAGCAACACAAAGAAGGACGGTAAAAATCAAGTTGTCAATCTTAAGGGTTTTTATGTCTTATTATGCTCGAGTGAATAATTAGGTTTTAAATGCCATTAACTGGTAGCTTTCCCTTAATACATATTTGAGAGACCCCTTTAAACTAATTACATCTTTTGAAGCTAATGATCAGATACTGAAAGAGTAGTTTTAAATTTTAAATGATAGTTTGAGCTTCAGCTATTAGAGCTTCTCAAAACCTTGAACTAGATGTACTTTATGATTCAACAGTAGTGTACTACTATTTGATGATCAGAGTGGAAACTAATGAAAGTCATACAGCAAAATGATTACAGAAGAAATGAAATCAATGTGAGAATCTACATGTCTCTCAAATAATAATACTACTTTGATTAATGCAAAACCAAAATATTGCATTTCAAATGTTGAGAGAATATGGTTAAAAACATCTGAAATTATACATGCAATAAAAGAGGTTTTTAGAGAGGAAAAAGAGAAATGTTACAAAGGAAAATGAAAAAAACAAAACAAAAAAAAACAACTTCTGAAAACAAAGAGACAGGGAGAGGAGAGGGGAAATATAGAAAAAGAGCAGACACTCACAAAAACACCATATGTTGGCATGCATGAAGCGATGTCATTCTAGCGGTAACCAAGGCATATGGATGCCGCACATAGCGACAAAGCACAGAGGTGAGCAAAAGGACACACATGGGGTCTTGCAGACAGCAGGTCTGAGCGGAGCTGTGCACACTAAAGCAGCGCCTGCCTTACCTCCCTGCACGTGTCACACCACCTTGCCTAGACGCCATCAACACCTGGCCCTGACACACCCACACCACCACAATCGCAAAAACCTGCGCCGTGAACGCAACTCCTCCACATGATTCCCCTCCTACTTAGACTGAGGGAAAGAAGCCAAGTCAGAACAAAATGCCATGAAATAACATGGAAGGAAATCAACGAAATGTGAACATGAGATTAAAAAAAAGACACTCTTGAAGATGCAACGTATGAATGTAAGACTGATGATTTTGAATTCCTGTTGATGATACAAGGACGGACAATTGGAGAGGAAAAGACTTGTGAAGTAATGACAATGGGAAACCAAAAGGACGCATGACACGTGGATTCATAAAATGGGAAAACAAGCAAAACCCATTGGAAAGTAAATTTATTCCCACAGGGTTCCCACTTTCTGTGATCCACCTCCAAATAAGATGAAAATCCATCAGCACGGGAAGGTCTGTCCAAATAAAGATGACTAACAGGAACAAACTTCAGAAAAGAAGAGATGGATAACGACGGGTGATCAATAGTTAAAACAAAAAAGGAAAATCATAAGACATGGCATCTTCCCATTGAGTGGCTACTCTTCTTCAGACTTGGATTGTCTTCTTCCCCATTTATCCTGACAGAGAGAGCTGGTGTTGGTACAGCTAAGCCTGAACTTCCTGTGGAGTGCTGAGAAATCCAGCAAATGGATGAAGATCTGTTTGTTGATGCTGCTTGAAGTTTGTTTGTAGAAGATGAATGTTGTGATTCACTTTTTAAAATCTCCTTAGTTTAAGGAAGGGGCTACGTCCAGCAGCACAGAACACAGAGCAGCCTGGTAGTAGCACTCCTACCTTGCGCAGTTGGCATAAGCTGCTGGAGTGGAACGCCAGGTGATCCTAAAGGAGGTACACCAGGATGCTGGAAAATTAGCCCATGGCGACCAACGTCAATCCGGGACCTCTTAGCCTGATCTGGGATTTAAAACACACAATACCCTCATAACGCAAAAAAAAAGCACTCGGCACAGAGCAATGACCTTCGGAAGACCTTACAGGTCACCTCTCCTTCCTCGGGTTAAGACTTCAACACAGAGCGCTAGTAGAGGATGCCAAATATCTAAAAGCAGAAGCAATTAGAGGGAGAAAAGAAAACAAACAGAAAATAAAGCAAACGGGGAGGAAACAAAGCAACATAGGAGAGACAGGAGTCTACGATCCTTGCCCTACCTGCTTGCACCATGGCCTGTTGCCTCTTAAAGGCATCCATGTCTCCAGGGTTTGTCATGGTGCCAGCAGAAGTTCCTTGGTGTCCCTGCAAAAATAACCTCTCAAGGAATTAGTAAAGGATAAGCAGTAAAATTTTTCAATAGAATTTAAAAAAGAAACGACAGATAATTTCACTGTAATAAGTGCTTTAACAAGTGTTGCCTCTATCACCTGAAACTGCTGCTGAACAGAGAAAGCTGCAGAAACATTCGGCGGAAGCTGTGTTGCTATGGCAACTGGTGTCACTGCTTGGCCATCCTTTCCAGTAACAACCTTTACCTGAAAAAGACACAGATTTGAAAGTCGAACAATATTCACTGGATGAAATGAACATAGTTATCTATCTGTAAAATTCCTACTTGATCTCACATTAAGAATCAGCCAATGTAATACCTCATCATTAATGACCTCAGACTGTTCTTCTTCATCATCTTCATCTTCAAGGTCCAAGTCATTCTGTCTCAAGTAAGTATACAAGGGAACACAGGGCTTTTTCTTGAAAGCTACATAGTCCATCATGTTCCCTTGTAGGTGCTGCAGAAAGAAAAGCTCAATCAGGTATTCTTTGAACACTTCTTTCAGGCTCTCCATCTTCTTGGTGTGGTGCTCTAAGCACTGTTTTCTCAGCTGGGCAATCTCAGGAGTAGAAGGAGCAATTTCCTCTAACTTCTTGGGAGCCTGCTTTTTCATAGTGGCCACAGCCATGCTGGTGGGTGCAAGGGGATTGTTGGGGATTCCTTGGGGGGGACTGGTGAGGGATGGGCTGGAGGGTGGAATGGAGGAGGGTATGCTGAATGAAGGTGTGGCTGTGGTTCCTACTCCAGTAACCACACCCTGCGACGTCTTCTCAAATATCATAGGGCGTGCCAGTTGTCCTTGAATTATACTGCTGATCTGTGGAGGTAGGTTGGAAGTAGTGATGTGACCAGGACTGCCCAGAGTTGGTAGAGCAGCACCAGTGGCCACAGGACTTTGAGGTCCGAGGTGGTGGATGGTGCCTCCGGTCTGTGAGTGAGGCTGAGAGAGCCTGCGTTCCCTCACAGAACCTGGGGCTCCTGGAGAGGCCAGCTGTACCTGGCCAGGTGTGGCAGGGGCAATCTGGGCCAGCCCTGTTCCTTCCTGGTAAACAAAGTGGCCACTTCCCGATGGGCTGCCTAAACTGATTTGCCGAACTAACATACTAGCTTCAACAAATCGTGTGGGACTCTGTCCACACACACCCAATGCTGTTGCAGGTGCTCCAGGCCTTGTCACACCTTGCAGAGGGACTGGGCTGTGCTGGGTGGGGCTCTGGGGTTGCATGGGCTGGGGCACAGGTGAGGTGACCTGGATATAGGAGGATGGAGCATGCTCAAACCTCCACTGAGGTGTAGTATGCTGGAAGCCAGGGGAGGCTGGGTTCTGGATGGGAAGTGGGGTTAGGGTGATCTGCTGGTTACCAGTCACCATTTGTCCCACATTTTGTAATGTGATGTTCATGTTCTGGCCAGTGACTGGGCTACGACTCATGATTATCTGATAATTAGGTGACTGGGGGGCTGAAGGGCTGGCAGCAGAGGAGAATGTGGTCACAGGAGATTGAGGGTGGTTAACTGTAGCTTGCTGCTGTGTGACTGCCATGGAGGGCTGCTGATCCTCTGCCTCCGACCCACTGACAGACTTGGATCTCTGAAGCTGTCGTTGCATATTCTGTGATCCACTTCCATGGTGCATTGCGTGACACTGTTACTATGTCTAAGCACAATAATCTGTGGAAAGGGCACAGCAGAGCATAACAATAAGTGATTTTTAACTATTGAAAAGGGTCCGAAAAAGAAGGCGGTCAGAAGGCTGTGTCTGCTGGGCATTCCAAATATTGCATATAAGAGTAACACATGGTTACATTACAAAAATACAACCAATCTGGTCGTAAATTTCCGTCATCAAACAGCATGCAGACAATATGCATTTGTCAACTGTAAGAGATTATGCTATACTGTTTATACCTCAGCATTTATGCCTGTAATATCTCTCTATGTATTAGGTCATTATGGTTAATATTACAACTTAATGAGCAGTGGTGATTCAGAGAAATACTGGATTTTTTTTTTCATTTCATTTAACATCATTATTATTGGTAATGATGACTGTGTTGTTCCTGAATTTGACAGGTGTACAATTTACTAATTTAACCTAAAACCAACATTCCTGTCTAGTTATTTTATAATTAATAATTTAATTTAAAAATCTTAATCATGTATATAATCAGTAGCCTGGTAAGAGTATCCTGATGAGTGAAAGCCAAACAGAATTTTGAGCTCACTTCACTGGGACGGTCTAACCCGGCTATATAATCAGTGTTTTGATGTGAAATTACAAACGTGACAGGATTTTCTCCACGTCAACCAACTGTATTAAACTTGCATAAATGACAAATTTTAAATATGCATACATTACATACATACATACACAGAGCTTCACATGCATTTACACTTAGTAATGTAAAGACAGATACAGAGGGCAGATGGACAGCATCATCACACATATTAAAATGTAATTGTAGGGTACAGTTATAACCATAATGCTATTTACACACGGTGGGTAGGGATGGGCTGTTACCTTTCAGACCAGAACATACACCTTATAAGCAGTTGACATTACGTATTAAGAAGCATTAACATTTCATCTTTAATGTAACACAGCTACATCTTTATACCTGTGTACACCACAGATTAAATATCCAATTTAACATTAAATCGTCAGATATAACTTAAAATTGTCCTGTAATGCAACTGGTGGGGTTGGTCTTGTTTACCGGTGTGAATCAGCAAAAGCCAACCTGCATTTTAAACATACGTGATACAACGTTACTGATAGCGGTGATGGTTTTGTACTGTTAGTGTCGGCCTATTACAATAAACTACAGCGTTTAGAAATTCTTGGTTTGTGGCAGACTAGTCGTTTGAAGACGACAATAACGGCACTATATTTACAACCAAAATTATCTACATGAAGCAGTATTTCTTTGGTAATGACTTAAATGTTCATTGTTTGTTACGACGTTAACGTTAGCTCCCACTTACAGTTTCGCTCCGGGGCGTAACGTTAGCTAGCGCTAGCTAGTTGGTAGCATTGCAATGAGACATAAACACCTGCAATTTTCGAAATAATAAGTCACCGACTGGGGGTTGGGTTGTAAATATATGCAACACAGATTACAAATATTAAGCTGCAGCATCTACAATTATGCTGTCTGTGCCATTTCAGCAATTGTAATACCCTTGATACGGGACGCGTGCTAGCCAATGCTAACGATGTTAGCTTGTTATTGCTAGCAGGCCAGCTTTCAATGAATAAATACATTTTATCACCTCAACGGGGTTACTTACAGGGAATGGGGCTTCTGTGGTAGTTTCATAAATCCTAAGTCATATTTACAATAAGTCACATGCTGTAACAAAGGTTATTCCGCGAAAAAATAAAATATCGATATAGCTAGCGGATATTCAATGTTTTGAAGCTAATTTCATTCAGCAACATGGCGGCCGCGACAACCTTTTGTGTGACCCGGATGTCTTTCTGTCTCCAGGAAGTGAAGTAAAAACAGAAATAAAGGATAGTTCTTTGGGTATGGAAATATTTATACTGGTGAAACTAATATATTATAAGATAAGTGCTCTAACAAAAATATTAGAAACACAGTAAGTTCTGTCACTGTCCCCTCTTATATGTGTTTTTGGTCTTTCTTATTTAATGAAACACTGGGAGAAGACATGGACAATTTGTGGTGAATACTGTATAGATAACAAGCTTAAAGAAGTATCTTTCAAGATAATGCATGTTGCACGTACCCGGTAAAGCTTGTATTAAAAAGATTTCAGCTGAATATGGATTATAAGTGTAGTTTCTGTGGACTAGAATAAGAAAGTATTTCTCATCTATATTTCACTGTATAGAGACTGTATATGCACCAGAATGATGTGGACTGCTGGCCAAAACCAAAACACATTTAGAATCAAGTCTGATTCTAGCATCATGTGGTTTGTGTGTCACAAGGCTGCCACATACATCTATCTATGCTATCAACATCCTCTTGTGATTTCTGTGGACTGGAATAATAAAGTATTTCTCATTTAGATTTCACCGTATATACACCAGAATGTGTTGGACTGATGTGGACTCTCTAAATTAGAAACCTAATACAAATGTTAAAATAAATATGTTTGATTTAATGCTATATTTTAGTAAAGATGAGAAATAACATGTTGTGTATCATACAACTCTAATTATTGGAAAATTCCATTTTCAGAATAGAAAATGGTCAGGAACCAGACTTTCATGCACTTTATTGATAAATTTCAACAATATAGTACCATGTTATCCATACTGAGAACAGTGGTTTCTATATTTCTGTAAATGAATTTGTGCTCAATAAAGAAAGTGAGAAAAAAATCAATGGGTAGAACCAAGTCAATGTTAACAAAATAGCATTTTTTCAGTCAGAAGGCCTATTTTTGTATTTACTTCTTAGACATGGATTAAGGCGCCAATTAAGTAACTGAGTAAATACATTGTGTTTGGTATTCAGGATAAGGTGTAATTGTAAAAAACAAAGGTCAACATTGTAATCTAAGTCAAGTTTTTCTGACATACTAATGGCATAGGCTATTTATTTAGCATTTAGGTAAAAAAGACTTGAAGTGAAGCCAGAGTTTTAACAATAAACATTATTTATTTTCGTCACACAGAGTGTACCAACTCATTTTGGCAAATTTGACTTGCAGTCATGAAATACAAGTAGAAAAGGCAATTTCATAAATTCTAACTTTGATTTGTAATGCTAACATTTTCACAAAATATTGAATATATAAGATAGCGTCCTATCAGGCAAAAATCATGTACAAATTCATTCACACACTAACGCAATCTTTTTATATTGCAAAAACAGCTGATGCAATAATGATACTATGCACACATACACACAAACAGCAGCAGTGTGGCATGCAGTTAAAGTACCTTCTAACAGTACATCACCACCCAAGGAAGGGCGGTGCTGGATTAGTTGCTCTAAAACTAAAATATATGTATTGCCGTCTATAATGTAAGTCAATATGACTGTAAGACATGTATGCTATTTGAGGTCAAAACATACTTTCATTACATCCACTTCTCCGCTTTGATGAAAAATGTACAAAAAGCAGGCACAGTTTTTCTATTACTGCTACACATTTGGTCATCTCATCCAAAGTATTCTGACTCCTCTTGGCTGGTGAACTCTTACTGTACACAAAACACCAAGACTTCAAATACAGAAAACAACTCAATGATCTTTGTTTCAAGTACAACACAGTTAAAATCAGCTATCAGATTATTATATGTGCAAAACAACACACAGTCTGTAACAACACAAAAAATACTGACAACAATTTACCTGATCAAAGTATTCCAACAATCATATCACAATCTGTCTTTAAGAATTTTTCTTACAGTCTTTTCTGTGCATTTATGTGAAGATTAGAGACTGACTGGTGGGATAAGAGCTGATGCTCCACTGGTCAATTCCCTTAAGACAGATCAAAGTGCTTATGTGTGTGGGAGGATCCATCTGTATTGAAGGCAGATGAATGAGGCAAGATAATGCAGTTGCTGTGGACACAGTTGTACAGCTCCTGGCTGCTGTTGCGTCTACAGAGCAGAAAGGCGTCGCTCAATACATTGCTTACCTGGGAACAGAGAGATTGAAAAATTTGGATCAGAATTAAATCTTGTCAAGACCTAGGCAAAAACACATGTGGAATCAACGTCTGACTCTAGCATCTTATGGTTTGTGTGTCATAGTGCTGCCACATACATCTATCTATGCTGTCAATGTCCTTCTGCTCAGTGATGATTTGGGACAGACCCTCCATCAGCAAAAGGGCTTTGTGGTAGCGCTGGACTGATGCTGTGCCATAGTGGAACATCTCATCCAGAGCAGCACTTTGTACCTGAATACAGTGAGAACACACACATTAAGGCTAAGATAAAGATGCACACTGGACATATATTGAATAGAATCTGATTTAAAGTTAATATAACATCCCCTGCTGTGTGAGGTGAGCTCACCATGTGCACAGTGTGGTTGTAAATGAGCTTCTCTGCTGTGAGTCCATTGAAGCTGTCCATAAGCTTCTGTTTGTCAAGTAAGAAGGACTGCAGGCGATGGTTGAGGGTGCGACAGTACGTTACACAGCTCTTGTACAATTCATTTAGCTTCTTGATCACTGCACAAAGGAAACACAGTATGCAAAGACATTTTATTATTATTACAAATACAACCTGACCATTGTCATCACATGTCAAAATGGAATGCCACTTCTGACTCAGTTAGACTACCTGGATAAATCAACTATTAATGCTTAAAATTGTGTAGACTAAAACACCCAAAAGCTCTTGTTCTTCCAGAAGGAGCACAAACTACAAACATTTAACAGACATCTGTCAAGTCGACAAAAGGAGAGTGCTTGGTACTCAAAACCAAAAGTCACTGCTCTCACCTTGTTTGACTGTAGCCGAGGGAAGGAGCTGGCCTTGTTTGATATTCTCTTTAGCCGTGTGCAGCGCTGATGACAGGAACTCTTCAGCCTTCATGTACAACACTAACTGCTCTGCATAGCTGGAACATGCACATCAGAAACATAAGTCATTTCCAAGAAAATTTATGTAGGAACACATTGAGAAAATGTAAAGAGCTTAATTTCTCTCACCTCCATTCTTTACTCAGAAGGCTGATCTGATCAGTCACTACGCTCTGCTCTAGAAAGGAAACATCAGGACTGCTGATGGCATCCAGCCCCGGGTCCTTGGAGGAAGCCAGATCCATGACACAGTGGACAAAAGCCAAGGTGAAACGCAGTTCACTCAGACCATCTGTATGAGCCTGCTGTGAAAAGAACAAATACTATGAATACAGAAACTGTTCCTGTAGAATCTGAAATTGTCTATTTTATGTCCATCTGCAAATGTTCATTATGCCTGTTGCTCTAAAACAATCTGGAGGATTCACCTCCCAGTATTGTTATAGTATCTGTCTGTACCTCCATCAGTGTGTCTTCAGGAAGCTCTGGAGGGTGAAAGAGCAGACTGCTGAGTGGAGTGGCGTCCATGGCTTCAGTCTCACTGTTTCTACGGTTTCCTCCACAGGCAAGACGACTGTTCAGTGGCCAGGCTGGGTTAATGTAGATGGGGGTGCCTGCATTTAGGACAGAGACAAATACAGCTTAACCTTGAACAGCTGAAATACAAGTAATGAAGAGAGCATGGAAGTAACTGTTTACATGTTTTAGATTTACAACAACCAGGAGGCTCTTATTATGTGATGTCTTATTAATATCTTAATTAACTTTCAAATGGTTTACATCTAATTTTACTTGGGTGACAGGGGCTCCCAGTGCTGGTGTTTTGCTTTAGATGTTTTTAATGAATAATTCAATTAGCAGGGGGCCACAGGCTGGATTCGAACCCGGGCCGCTGCGGCAACAGCCTTGTACATGGGGCGCCTGCTCTACCACTAAGCCACCAACACCCCCAATTAATGAAATTTTAATGAAAACTGCACTTTACTTAATTGGTACAAGTGGTCTATATCAGTGGTTCCCAACTATTGGGTTGTGGTTCAAAAGTGGGTAACAGGTCCATTCTGAATGAGTCGCAGGTGACTCGCAAATGTGTCAAGTTTGTAAAAAACACACTTTATTTTAAGTACAGTGAATTCTTGCCACAAAGCTTTTATTTTGAAGTCCCATTTCCTGCTCTAGAGTGAATGAATAATGGACAGATACTTAACAGAGACAGCAAACTAGCTCAACAACATGGCCCAATGCAGTTTTGACACTAAATATAATAAACTGTGTGGACCTTGAACTAATGACTATGGAGAAATCTGGACCCCGTAGATGCAGCCATTGGGAACCACTGGTCTAAGTGAACTCTAAACTGGAGAAAGCAGTATGTAATAAAAGTAAAGCCTCACTGGTTCATTCACAAACATATTTAATTGAGGGCCTTTTCACAAACCTCCTACAACACAAGCTAAAAAAAAGGTTTAAAATGAACACCCCAACAGAAAATAAATATACAGGGCTAGTTATAACACCTACCTGAGAGCCTCCTTGATGCGAGGTAATCAGGGGGAGTGTTCCCTTTGGAAGGAGAACCCAGAGTGAAGACAACAGGAGGTGGACAGTCTGAGAAGCGTCTATGACAACCAGTAGGAGGAGCTGTCGGAGCAAATATGAAGAGTTGAAGTCAAACGGCTGAGATGTCCTTGGACAGTGTAACACAGCTGAACTGCAGCCCAGTAAATGACATGGCCATGGTCATGATACCTCAAAATATGTGTTTAGTAACTTCTGCATGTTGTGAAAAGTGTGATACTGACTTTAAATGGTCATTTAGCTATATATGGCTATGAAACATGTACCTATCTTTTCTAATCTACAACAACAGCTATGTAGTCTTAATGCTGGTGAACAAAGACAAATAGTGCCAGTAGAAATAATTTGACTGGTCTTATCTGTTCCAGTGGTACCTGTTGTATCCATGTTTTTCTCACAGTTGAGGCTCTCGTCACTTCCCTGGTCATACAGGTGCGCTCCAACAGCCGCCTTCAGTAGCTTGTCAGACTGCCTGCCTGCGCTCTGTGATCTGGACATTCAATACAGCCAGAGAAACACCATCGAGAGCATTTAATAATTTATCAGATGGCATATCTTTTATACTGTGTGACACCTGTACGTGCCAGATAGCAGATACTCGTATGAATGACAAAGTCTCAATTAGATCTGGATTAGTGACATAAACACATTTCACATTTTATTCTACTCTCATATGACTTTGCAGGATACTGTTAAATTATCATATAACCGTAGTTGTTATATTTATAATAATATATCGTAATCATACTGTCCTGACCTTTTAAAAGGGCCTTTTTTATTCGCTGTTTTCCCATTGAGGTTGGTCTGGGAAGCAGGGGATGGGTTATGGGATCGCAGGTCGTGGACTGTCCTCCTTCGGTTTTGCATCCTTGGTTGCACGTACTATTGATAAGGAAATTAAAGTTCTGAAATGTGTGCATTGTGAGACAAATGCACACAATGGAGTGTAATAATATAGATGTTTTAAAAACTGACCTTGGGTCTGGAGTCGTCCTGCATGTCAGGAGAGCCAGCGAGCTGTCCAGTTCTTGTGCTGAGCGGCAGAGTCTGCTCTGAGGTCTTTGGGGTCATTCCCACTAGAATACAGAGTATTATAAAGATTAAACCATTAAATGAGTCAGGCAGAGGCAAAGCAAGTACAGAAAATCAGATAGCAACACATCACCACAAACAAGTCCAGGAATGTACTGGAGCATGACATATTTCAGATGGTGGAATTTCTGTAAACACCCACTTGGCCCTGGTGGCCAACACCGAGTGACATCGCACAGACAAATTCCCATGTAGCGTGTTAAGCTGTAGGAGTGTGACCTGGAGAGTTGCTGTGAAGGAGCTCTGCTTCAACACTCCTTAGATAGGTGAAAAAACAGCCGATTGAGATATCTACCTAGTGGGGAGGACTGTTGTGGTCGGGCCCCTCCAGCTGCCAGCCGTGAGGAGTTGAGAACAAACTCCGGACTTGGAGCTCTACAGCCTCCACACTGTGGGGAGCTGCTGCCGGCACAGCAGAGTGTGGCCCTGATTGACATGAGACACAGTTAGACTTAGAGAAATGAGTAACGACAAGACACTAAGGTGGGGTGGGTGCAGAGACAAGATAACTGAGAAACTGTGCATGCCTGGAGGAGCCGTGCAGGCCAGCAGGTTGCACTTTCTGTTCCATACGCTGGTAGTTGTGGATTTGAGTTGGGACAGGAATGGGCACAGAGGGACTGCAGTTACGGCTGAAAAATTCAACAGGATTGCTGCATGGATGAAAGAGGAAGCAAATGAATTAGAAATGCAGGAATATGCAGTTTTGTTGATTTTATAACTCTATTAAAAATAACAGTGAAAATTAGAAAAACTAAATGCACATGTTGTAAACCTATGGTGTCTCATATTGGACATAAAATGGATATAAATACTGTTGGGTTTAAGCTCACACTTAAGTTACTCATCTATTTCAGCACACTTTTATCTTTAAAGCATAATTAGGTAAGTAGGTAAAGGTAAGTGTGAGAGTATTTTTCACCCCGGGCCCTGTCCATGTTTTGTCCGTGTGACCAATGGTTCGCATCGTCAATTTACATCCATGAGTGCTTGTCTTTTCTATTATGATTTTTATTGAATTATTATCATAAGTGTCTGAAAACATTATGGTTAGGGCCCTTCAGAGATAGCGCTTCATGTTAAAGAGATCATTTTTGTTTCACCAAAAAAAGCCTTGAAATCACCATAGCCAAACCCAGACCACATTTTCACACCTAACTGGGGGAATTTGAGATTTATTTCAACCAAACCAGAGTTGGTGATTGTTGAAACAATGGCAATATTAACCAAAATGATTCTTTTGATTTTTATTTTGTTTATGTCGATTTTGAATGACATGCGTTTTACGATGACTAAATTAATGTTTATCTAAACAAGAGTCTGGTGGCTTTGGCAACTGCAATTTCGGTGCAGTTTCTGGTTTACCAAAAGGGTCTATCTCTGGAGGGATGCTTGTCAGACAATAAGAATAATAATCTTAGCCTGTCAGTGGCAAAAACAAGCATTTTAGTAGACTTAAACTGATGGCGTCATATGCCCTGACTGATTACACAGCAGATCAACACTGGACCAATTTAAAAAAAAAAAAAAAAAAAAAAAAAAAAAAATTCACTTGGATACAAAAACATGTGAAGATAGGGTCCAGATTGAAAAATACCAAACTTTTTGAACTTGTCAGGCTTTCTCTCACCTAACAGGCTTGGGGGGAGAGTGTGGCAGTGGAGAGGGTGGAGGTGTCTTTCCTGCATTTCTGGGACCTCTCTCAGCCAGTAGTGAGCACCTGAAGAAAAATATATGTTGTTGTATGTTGTTAGCTCTGTCTGCACAAATTACTAATATTTGCAAAACATTAATTTTGCATTACACGTTTAAACAAATCTATTCTGCATTTTCTGTCCACAGTCAATGGACACTTGGAAGCTTTCCTGTTAGATGATGACTGTCACTGTGTTTCTGTACACATCAAAAGGCATCATATTCATATTCAGTGCAAGTTCATAGCAATTATTGCCTGATACTAATTACCTTACAATATATGTGCACCTCCCAGAGTGACTACTCACCCACTGTATATCAGGCAACTCTCAATGGGTGACCCAACTTCCCCTTCACACGTGCACTCATCTAAAAAGCAGTAAAATAGAAACAGTCAGACACCTCTTGATGATGTGGAGAAAAACCCACACACAAAACAGAAAGTCCAGATACCTAAAGAGTGGGGTTTAAATGTCTTACTTGGAGGCACTATGACATAGTCCTCTGTGTAAGATGAAGTACTCCTGCTGTCTTGATTGGCTATTTCTTTCAGCAGAAAGCCGGGGGTGTCCTGTGTGGGGGAATACAGTGCTTTGGGCTGAGGTCGATGCATTTCTCCATCGGAATGCTGAGAGAGTGTAAAATAAAGTTGCTGTTCAAGTACAACTATGAGAAACTGCAAGTAAACAAATGCAATATGAGCTTACTGTATTACGTTCAAAAGACATTTACATTTCACATCTTTGCCCAAGATATTTGTTTCATAAATCCACTACAGAGAGGTGTACGCACTTGAGGGGAGGCCACTTGGGATGTGGAGGAGCTGCTTGAGGAACTGCCCGAGCCTGAGCTGGGGTAGGAGAGCACAGGAGCTGGAGAGCCTGTCAAAAAAAAAAACAACAACATATATTTGCCTTTGTTAGGACCCGGTCTACAGCACCTTTATTGATCCAAATATGTGCAGAGACAAATAAGATGCAGTCCATACATTTCTTTGTGGATGAACTCGTCTCCAAGAAAGGATGGTGGAAAAACTCATCTGTAAATGTAAAGATTTAGAAGTAAGAGACAGTTTTAAAAAAGTTATTATGAAAGAGGTTGTTAATTTTAAAAGGCAGAAACTTACCAAAGCTAATTCGTTCTTTGTGGTTTCTCTGCAGCAGCCCCAACAGCAGGTGTCTGAGGTTAGTAGAAGTCTCCTTCGGGATGCTAGGAAAATACAAAGGTTTTCTGTCATCAACTTATTAGCTGGTAAGGTTGTCAAATGTGATGTAAACCAAAAATTTACACAGTATCTAGAGAGAGGGAAAATCCATTGGGTGGGTTAATCTCTGTATGCAGCTTTATACAGTGTGTCATACAGTATGTGTAGCATGCATGTCGATAAAACATGCTAATATTTTGACTGTCTCACTGTGTTTGCATGATATATGTGGTGTTAAAAGGAATAATATTTAGGTCACTTGTGTTTCATAAGCCATAGCGAGCTGTAAAGTGTGTGAATTTTTAATCTAATCTCCAGCGCAAAACCTCAGGGCATCACGACACTCAGAGTCAGTGCAGACTCTGCATGTGTGTGTGTGTGTGTGTGTGTGTATTTGTTTACGTCTGTGTGGAGCTATGTGGGCCATGTGGAAAACGATAGCCGCGCAGGTCACTGGCTGGCAGCTCGGAGCAGGTTATATATAGAATGACAAGAAAACAACAAACCATGCCCTGTCTTATCGCGCTAGTTTTATCACCACAAAAGATAAGCATGACCACGAGCCATAATACACAGGCTGGCAAAGTACACCACGGAAACAATCCATAAATCCCTTTGAACGCTTTCCAGGTCCAATTCTGAGTATGAGGGATTCAGCACTCAAAATGACTTTATAAATAGCCGAGAGAACTGATTGTGCAGGCATTTGTCAACTGGTATCAAGGCAGAGATGTTGTTTCACATTACACGTGGAAACTACATCATATAGAGAAATATAGCATAGACACGACACTATGTTAAGCATCATACTAAATTAGATTTTTAAATATAAACTGTGTTTGAGTGGCTAATTGCGAAAAATCTGGCTGATCAGCCCCGTCCGGTGTCTGTAGCTGTTTCTTCCACATTAAAGCTATTTTTAGTGGTGGTATGGGATTTATTGAGTGGTAATTACCCATATGTGTATGTTTGTAAACTGTCTGTGCGCACACCAGACATTATTCACATACACAGTCATTCATCAGCATCTGAGTGCAGAGAACACAGGTCATCTCCCTGTAATGCCTGTTTACCCCCTCCTCCTGTGTGTACTGTGTGTGTACATGTGTGTAGGCGTGGGGTCGTCCAGGGGTGCACTCACCTGGGTAGGAGGGTCCTGTTGCTTTCATAAAACAGACGAAGCTCCTGTGGAGTGCTCGCCTGTACACACACAAACACAGACACACAACAGACATGAGTTAAATCTAAAAATGACCGTTAACATGCACACACACACACACACACACACACACACACACACACACACATAAACACATGCAAATAAATGAACCTGCATCCTTACAAACAAACATTTGAAATGATGTCAGTGGAAAGTTTTACTATTTATTTTTGCCTGAGCCACAACAAGGATGTATAATGACTAGTTATGTCACAGTGCATATAATCGTAACATAAATAATATATGGGTGTTTGATGATCCCATCGAGGACAAAGTGGAATGCTTGAAGATGCCAGCTGAGCCAGCTAAGTAAACATCAGCAGCAACAACAGCTAACCTCCAAATGACCCTTGGACTTATCTCAACTCACGCACCTGCCTGGCAAAAATAGAAGTCACTCTTCCCTCTCATTCCCAGGAAAAATGCATTCCAGGAAACGGCAACGTACTGTAAACAACCTCAATAGGTACAAAGTGTCAAACTAACAGGATGTTTTTTCTTCTTTAACAGCTTATATATGGAGATAAAAATGGACTTCAGATGAAGAAGACATCAACGAAGAGACAAAACATCTTCACAAAACATCATGTGTCTTTACATCAATCATAACTGCAGCAATCAACAGTTCAACGGTATCAAGTGGACGGCCATGTGAACAGTAGAAAGTAATACCCAGGGTTGTGAAACAATATTTGCTTTGGGTTGGGAGAAATGGCTCGCAGCCATTTCCGCATACCCCCCTCTGTAAACATGGTGCTTTCATAACAAGTTGTCAAGCTGTTCCAGCATTTTCCAACTAATAACACTGGAGATCAGGAAGAACGTCACCAAGCAGACAGGTGGTGTTCACTGGTTGTGTTGTGGATCATGTGTCAGTGTGTTGTGAAAGGGATGCATCATGTTCAACTTTGTGTTGACAATAATGAGTCCATCCTTTCTTGGTACTGAGACAGAACAAAATCCATCCACCTCAACACATAAAATGAGTGATGTTACAGTTTTAGTATCTACATGAGTGTGTGTGGTTTTAAGCATCACTTACATGAAATGGTGCCTTCCCAGTCAGACACTGGTACACAATAGTACCTATACTCCACAGATCAGCCTTGGCATCATAGTTCTGGGACATGATGACCTCAGGAGCCTGTGTCCAGACAAACACAGCTTAGGGACATGCTGATATTACACCTTGTCGCCTCATGAAACCAGAGTAAGAGACCTTAATACTCACCATGTACATGGGAGAACCGCACAGTGTGGCTGCCATGGTGTTTGTCTGGAGATGACGTGCAAACCCAAAGTCAGCTGGTGGGTGAGAGAAATATGGTGAGGGACATACAGGTATGTGTGTGTGTGTGTGTGTGTGTGTGTGTGTGTGTGTGTGTGTGTGTACAATCAGAAATGAACTAACTCCACCATCAATGCATTTGCACAGACGTTCAGCTCTTCTATTACTCTCCTGAGAGAAATCATTACCTATCTTAATGCAGATATTGTTGGGGCTGGACTTGCGGCCCTCTGGGTGGCAGAGCAAGATGTTCTGGGGTTTGAGGTCTCGGTGGAGGATGCCTTTGCTCTGCAGGACCTTCATGGCCTGACCCATCTGCTGCAGGAATACTCGGATGGTATCCTCACTTAACGTGCCTTTAGCTGAGAGTCAGAGGGATGAAAGTCATAAGATGATCTGGGAGGAAGTTAGCATGGCAGTAAACAGAAGATTTATCGTGCCGCATGTTATGTAGATACACATAAAGAGGTGAAGCAAGGTGTGAAAAATACCACAATTATTCACAGCTTGCTGGCCCTGCTCACTTGCCATTCTTAGGATTGTACTGATGCAACTAAATAATTAAAGAGCAATAATTCTGGCAGCTGTGGCTTAGGAGGTAGAATGGATCGTCAGCTAATCAGAAGATGAGCAGTTCAATCCCCAGCTCCTCTAGTTTGCATGTCAAAGCATCCTTGGGCAAGATACTGAACCCAAAATTGCTCCAAATGGCTGTGCCATTGGTGTGTGAGCGTACGTGAATAGTTAACTGAGTAGCAGGTGGCACCCTGGCCACCAGTGTATGAATGTACAAATAAATGGGTCAATGCGATATGTGGTGTAAAAGAGCTTTGAGTGGTCGGAAGAGTCAAAAGGTGCTATACAAGTGCAATTATAACTGATTTCTAGGATTGCTCTTACTGAATACATTTCTTCCACTGTCTCCTGACACTCCAATATAATGCAAGGTGAAGACACACAACTCTCATCACATCAGTGTCACTGCTGTCAAACTTCGTGGAAGAGAATTTTGTTTACCACCTGGCTTCACTTGGATATTAAAGTCAAGGCCATCTGACATGCTCGCACTTCCTCCCCCCATTTAGTATTTGTAGCTGCAGTGTTTTTCCACCGGAGCACAGGGGATAAGTGAATGGCAGATGGGTGAGGTCATGTGACTGCTCCGTGAACCTTGCCAAGTGTGACTGAGTGTTGCGCTGTTAATAGCTGGATGGCTCTCCTTGGCAGCAATGCAGAATGGGCAAGTCTACAAAATAAGAGACGCTGGCAAGGTGGCAGAATTAGACCGATGATCCACATCAGCATCTGAATAGACACTGACGAGGTAAATTCAGCCCGAGAATAATCAGCACCAAGCCCTCAGCTGCATCGTGCTATTTCTGAGCAGAGTTTGAAACATGAGGCAGGAGACCTTTTCAGTGTGAGAGTCTAGTGAGAAGTGTTTTTTTTATCGTTCTGAGAATTGAAAGATGGTGAAATCACAAGGGTTTTGGAAAGCCAACAAAATAAAAGTTGGGAGTTACTTTGGCTGCTTATTTTGTACTGGTTTTTACATAACTTGTTAAATATTGAAAAGAAAAAAAAAAAGCTCATCACAAGCCAATTCTGGGGGTTTAATTCTATCTGGGTTAAGTACTTGGGAGTATTAGTGATAATTTACCCACTGACCTGCTGAAACTTTAAACCTAAATTCTGTGGTTGTTCTGCCCTGCCTCCTCAAAATCCTATTATTCCCTCAAAACACTGGAAAAGCTTAGCCAAGCCTCTTAAAATCCAAACTGACCTGCCAGTACAACAGTAAGCTGCTCCAAACATGTTTACAAGTAACAAACCGTAAGTTTGATCCTCTAATGTAACACTTAGAAGTGGTGTGAAATGTCCCCTTTTTGCTTTGACCCCAGGTGAAACACAAATCTTTACAGCAGTGAGATGTGAGCTGGGTTAGGCCCTGCAGGACGTAGCAAACTTACAGTGAAGATACTCTGCCAGGTCACCTCCATTGCAGTACTGAAAAGATGAGACAGACAAGTCTTAATAGAAGCTTTGAAGCTTTGCTGCCTTGTTAGTGAATGTTACCATTTCTAACACAACTCACCTCCATGACAAGATACACACATCCTCCCATTTCCTGTTGATGAAACCAGATAAAATACTGATTATCATTTCAAAAGGTAAAGTGACTGGAATATAATTATACTAATCTGATTAAAAGTGTAAAAAAATGTCAAAAAAAATATTTAATGTAGGAAGATAGAGAATAAGGACTTATGCCACCAATCGATAAGTGTCTCAGCAGCTGTGCCCCGGGTTATACAACAGGTGACACCAGTTCTCGTACTGAGATGACTCTTTTTGGCCCATAACCAGTGGCAGTTCAAGAAATTCTGAAAGCAGCCAACTCGGGGGGACGGGGGGACATGAAACTGTACCCCATCATAGCCCCTGTCCAGCTCTGGGCCCCTTAAATTATCTAAGGACCCTTCTCCAATGTGGCGCCCCACTTCATAACCACTGAAAAGTCATGCTACCATTTCCTGTTGCTAAAACCATGTTAAATGCTAATTATTATTTACTTTGAAACTTGGAAGCTTCATTCATAAAGCTGACATTTGAATTCTAAATCAACATTCAAATGCTGCTTTTTTTGTGTGTGTCATTACACTATTTAGAGAGTTAGATTCGAGAATCTGATGAACCACTTTACTCAAATTGATGAACCACTTTACTCAAATTTAGAATTTTGTTGAGGATTTTTTCAAGGGTATTGACATCACAAAAGACAGACATTCAAAGCTTAATTTGAAAACCTCAACAGAAGCTGCAGTACTGCTCTGTTATCATTTTCAAAAGACAAAATGACATAAAATTAATTACATATCTCATACAGAAAGATGGGGAATTGGGAGCTATACCAACAATCCATCAGTGTCTTGGCAGCTGTGCCCCAGGTTACACATCAGGTGACACCAGCTCATATCTTGGACTGGGTTGATTCTTTTTTTGGACTGTCACCACTTCTACAAATTCTGGGCCCGCTGACAAAAGTTAACTCAGGGGCCTGAAACTGTACCCCATCATGGCCCCTATCCAGCCCTGGGCCCCCTAAGTTGGCATCCCGCTTCATTACCAAATAAAAATGTCACAGAGTGGTGAGGTGACATGAGTTAGGGTAAAAGGGTGCAAAGTTTTGGGTGCCAGTCCCACCTGATTGTGACCCCTTGTACTACAGTATAACTAACACCTTATGGCTGCTATGATGTAGTAAGTATCACTATAACAGATAAGTAAGGTAATGCCGGGCAAATGAACACATTGCTGTCAACAAAAGGCTCCCACAGCCTGACCTAGAAGGCGTCATTTGAGGTCAGTAGCCTTGCATGTTGGTGTGTGCGTGCAGTGAGACACTACCCACTCTGTGTTAAATAAGCCATTGTTTGACCGGCTGCGCTCTGCCATCTGTCAGAAACAGAGAGATCAGCTCAACCCTGTCTGGTAGGTGTCAGTAAGGTAAGAAGAGGATAGCACACGCCCACATCCAAGATAAACTACAGATCAAGTTCAGGTCACTGAGGTCGCTTGCCCCATGGAAAACTACAACATCCGCAATGCCAAATATGTATCACACGAGCAGGTGACGTTCAGTGTTGCAGCAACATGTCAACATTCGCAACATGTGGCAGCAAAGTTCCCAGTAGTGCACGTGTGTGCATGTGCTACTGTGTGGTTACTGAGAATATGGCTGTGCTCATGTGTGTGAGAGGAGAGGTCTTTACCTGATAGTCAAGTAGTCTGACAATATTCTCATGTTTAAGCTCCTAAAGGGTGTGGGGGAAAAACATTTTAGTTAAAAGGCACACAGAGACACTGACACAGAATGCGTGGCAACAATAAGAGTCAACTTATTACCTTCAATATTTTGATTTCTTTACCAAGCAGAGACTGAGACTTGGCCAAGTTTTTCTTGTTGATACATTTCACAGCAACCACCCAGTCACGTTTCTTGGAAACACAAGAATAAAGGCAGGATATGAATACACCAGCTTTACATTGATCAACAGTGACAAGGTACATTTGTCTCAGATATAACATTACCTCTTTATGTCTGCCCTTGAACACAACTGCAAAGGCACCGTGACCAATCAGGTCTTTCCTGTTGAACTCAAACTTCCCAACAGACTCCATGGATGATGAAAATAAACGCGCTCAAGTATCAAGAGGTTGATTTTCCAACTGAAACAGACGTACAGTCCCACGATAGTTTCCTCGCGCCGGTAAATCCCATTTCACAGATGGAAAATACTGTCCTTACACGCGACGAGATTCATACTCGGAGGAAAATATAGATGACAGCATTGCGAAGTCACTGTCAACACAAAAAGTTCAAAACAACGTGCGTAGGAATAAATAACAATATGCAAACAAAATATTAGCGTCACGCTGAGCTTGTTTAACGATTCAAATTAAATCCTGTTACTTTTCTGGAGCTGCTGGAGTTAAGAAGCTCCCGACAGTGCTGTCAACCGCTGTTTATTATTGTCTCTCTCACCTTTCTGCCCATACGCTGGTAGTTATTCATAGCTCACGGTGAGCATGCGCAGACCGACAAGCAGCGGTATGATGATGGTGCTTTCAGGGACACCTTGTAAACTCTCAATTCAATGTCTTAATTTGGCTGCGACTTATTTTTAAACGCTCTACGAAGAAGGAGCCATTTTCCAAAACATGTGTTATGGTGGCTGGTGTTTTTATTTTAGGTGTCTGGCAGCTCAACGCATTTTTGTCTCTTGTATGCATAATCCCCATTACAGTTTGGTCACTGGTCAAAATGTACATGTGGGCTTCAAACGCTCAAATAATAATAATTTAAAAAAACAAGAAATATTCAAAAAATTACAATACACACTTAACAGTATTGCGCACACAGTGAAATCCATCACGTTTACCATCTCTCCTCCAGCATCATAACATGTACACGACCTGCCTTAAGGCCATAAAGGTTATGTCCAAGGTCATGGGGATCAATGATGGGTCTTATTAAAGGGTTTAAGGGCTCTGAAAGAACAGAAGGAATGGCCTTTATTCAGTCTGAAAACAACAGCATTATGCATTGGAGGACTTTATGTCTTATGGTCTACTGTCTCAGTCACAACCCATCAGCACCAACTGTCAGAAAGGTCAGCCATTGTTGTGTGTTTAAAGGATGGGTTCATCATTTTTCAAGTCTGACTTAAAACAGTTGTCATGTGCCCAAATGTGCACTGAAATGACTTTTCCCCTCAGTAATCATTCTTTCTACTTATACTACAGTAGATCCCATCCCAGTGTAGGTGAGGGACAAAATCCACAGCCCTTAGGTGAAAAAAACTAAAACAAAGTTCATCTGAAGCCAATATGATGCTTCAGCAGTCACAATTAATCAAATCAAGTGTGCGTCTTCAGAAGTGTGACTTTTTAGTACATTTCTTCTGTTTTTTAACGGGGGTAGTGACACAAAGAAATAATTTTGTTCTTAAAAGACTGAAACTTTGGATGATACCCACTAGATTGGTCTACTTTAGACTCCTGAAGGCTCACTTTTTTGTTACATGAACAGGAGGAATGATTACAGCAAGCAAGTTTTGTTTCAATGTTCATATGGACACCTGACCATTGTTTAAGACAGGTGAAAAATTATGAACCTATCCTGTAACACTTTGAATAACACTTTAACACTTTGCGTAATGCAGGATGGCTCAATATTAGTTGTAATTTCCAGGTTTTGATATTCTAGAAAACCATCCTTACCAAAAATGGATTATTGGTAATGTGACACACACACCCACACATACGTATATATATATATGATGATGAAAATCATGTACTAAAGATGACACTGATTTCTTGTCATAAACATTTTATAATAAAGATAACTGGAAGCACAAACAATAGTACCGTAAGACAACAATCACTAAAGGCATTACAAGCATAGACATGTTGAAATATTTAACTTTAAATTTGACATTATAAGTGAGCTCAGAGTGACTTACAGTAAATCCTGTTTTAGGAAACTTAATGTTGGTACAGTGTAAGATCAATGACATTTTAAATGATGTCATCTCTCCCTCCTTTCTCACAGTATGGTAAGAAAAAAAAAGCAACAATCTCATCAAGTCCCTCTGCTGTAGAACATATTTCCTTGTACTGTACAAAAAATGTATGAAAATGTAAAAGAAATTGGCAACAGAAACAGCTAAAGACTCCATAAAACTTCACAGAATTGTGTCCGAAACACAAGCAGTATTCACTATTCCTCGGAAAGAGTGTCTGCAAATATACCAGTCCATTTCAAGAGAGAAAACACACAAACAGACACAGTATTTAACATGAAAACATACTGATTGTTGAGCTGTGACACTTTGTGGAAGACATGATACAGAACTCAATAAATAAATACATTATATCAGAATTACATAGGGTCTAATTCGATGGTACATCACCCATTGTTATAACGCAGTTGTTGTGTTGCGCTGTCCCCAACGTTGTTTCAAAGTTGTGTGAATCGTGTGAAACTTGGAGAAGTTCGTCCAGGTAAAAAAAAAGCAATTATTCCTTTGTGGTGATGAATACTATTAACAGCTGGTGAAAACATCATTGTTTTAAGGCACAAAGCTAACACTATACATAAGGAAAATATACTGCTTTCCTTGGTCATTTATTATCCAAGTTTATGCATTTGTCTCCAACCGCACCCTGAAAATATTTATCGTCTCAGACGTTACATTTTCTGCAAGTAAATTACAGCTGATGCATTTACACTGTTTCATTGTGTGAGACAAATTACATGTCAAAACACATCACTGTAATTTAAAGGAGCAGTGTGACAGACTTAGTGGCATCTAGCGGTGAGGTTGCAACCAGCTGAGATTTCTTCCGTGTGCCAAGCGAGAACTCCCGGTTAGAATTCCTTCAGTGTTCATTGTTCAAGAGATTTTTATTGTGAGCCGAATTATCGGCAGAGGTCTCCTCCTCTCGAAAACAAATGGATCAGGTAATTCAAACTGATAAAAACATGAAATAAAGCAATGTCACGTTACAAGTCAGTGTTTCTCTGATGCTGCTAGGCTCATCGCAGACGGGCCCAGCACCTGCCAATGTATGCTCCCCTTTTTTCTCAGATAACCCAAGATTCAGATGATCAGGAGGTTTTTACCAGGAGCCAAATTATCCGCAGAGGTCTCCTTACCTCCAAAACAAACAGACATGGCGATTTTAACTGGTAAAAACAACAAAAAGTTTGAGGAGTGAGCAGTTTCATTTTAAAAATCAGTGTTTTTCTGACACTGTTCAGCTTATTGCAGAGGGGCTGCTAACTACTGTGGCCGACGCACCGTAGTTATGTATAAGAAAACGCAAAAACTGAATGGCCCTATCTAGAGCCAGTGTTCAGTTTGTCTGTTGTGGGCTACTGTAGAAACATGGCAGACTCTATAGATGAGGACCCGCTCCCTATGTAGACATAAATGGCTCATTGTAAGGTAACCAAAAAAATGATTTTTATTTTCCTGTAATTAAACGCTAAAGAAACATAATATTATGCTGCATGTCTGCCAATATATTCCCCTAAATCGTACACGCTGAACCTTTAAAGGAACATTTTGACATTATGGGAGATAAGCTGTTTTGGTTTCTTGCTGAGAGTTTGATGAAAAGATCTCTCCTGCACTCATATCTGTACGCTAAATATACTGTTAGCAGCAGATTACTTTGGCTTAGCATAGCACAAATATTGGAAAGCTAGTCTGGGCTGACTGTAAAAAAAATAATGTATCATTTTTACTCTTCTGTTTTGGTGAAGATTAATGAGATATAGTATGCTGATTAATGAGCTTTAGAGGTCCTGACAGACATATTTTGTCACCTTTAGACAGCTAGCTGGTAGCTGTTTCCCCCTGTTTCCAGTCTCTGTGCTAAGCTAACCTAACCAGCTGCTGGCAGTGGCTTCATATTAACTCAACAGGAATGAAAGTGATATCAATCTTTCATCCAACACTCAGCAAGAAAACAAATAAGTAATCTCCCAAAACGTTTAACTATTTCATTGTCAATTAATAAATCAGCTGCAGAATACGTATAGATGGGCCATGTCACAGCCAGATCTAGTAGCTCCACTATACAGAGCGTTGTTGCCAGACCCTGAACTGCACTCCTGGGTGTTAAGATTCTCACTGGCCTCCTAAGAAATCCCTACTCTTGTTTTTGGGAACACAATATGTTTTTGATTAGATAATAATAAGGCACAGTCCTCAGAGTCTGTTTGTCCGTAAAGGTGCAGCCATTATTCAGCTACCTCCTTTGGTATCACTTTCACATGAGCAGATGAGTGTCCAATTCCTTACATAACATAGTGAGCAGTGGCCAGTGTTTGTCATTCTACACTAGTTAGCTTCAGATTGCTCTCCGGCCACAGACAGAAATGGTCCTACACGGCGGAGAGGTCGATGCGATTGGCCGAGTTAGTGCTCTTGTCCCATGTGTTCATCTTGGTGGGAGTCACGCCCTCCTTGTTTCCATTCATCTAGAGGATGGGAAGGAGAATGATAGATTCAGACAGTAATGAGTGGAACAGCTCATTTTTGTTTGAGAAAATATCTTTTACACCAGCACTCACAATGTCAGAGTTGAATGGCTTCACATTGATGTTTCGGATGGAGCTGCTGGTAAGAGACCACACCTTGGTTTTGTGTTTGAAAGCAGCTCTGACCTATAGAAAGAAGCAAAGCCTTAACAGATTATGGTGACAAATGTCAGACAAAAGACATCTTATCAACCTAAATCAGAAATGGGGGTTCCAACAAAGAACATCGTACCATCCCTGCAAATTAGAATAAATTTGCTATAAAATGGCTTTAATTGAGAGCCTACAGCCAAATGAAATGCTGGTTTAAAGTTTAGTGTGTGGACAATTTCCTTCCACAAGACGGGACAAATTAAAACACAGCTGTATGCGACATTCAGAGTCTGTGGGGAGTTCGTTACACTTCTATGATGACGCTGTTCTGCCACTGTGGGTCAGGACAGCGCTATCAGTGGTAAGCACTGTATGATCGCAGTGCAGAGTGGCAGCGTTTAATTAGCCGGTGGGATACACACACACACAAGGACCAAACCAGCTACCACAAGAAAGAACAGAAGAGCTCAGACATCTTGGATGTATAAAGAGAACTGGATACAGCCTTGGAAGCTGGGCTCCGTTCATTCCTACAAAAGTGGCTCAGTGGCGCATGAGGCCAAAAAAGTTTGACTCCAAGGATGTAAAATTACCCGGATCTTCCGCATCATTGGGTGCATAGACCAAGTGCACTGGAGACTTTGTCGGCCTAGCAGTTTACTTTCACACCAGCCGAATCGTGTACTTACAGTTTAGACCTCTGCTAACTTGAATGAGACTAAAATGATTTAATCTTGTAGCAAATGTTATTGAGCTAAATTAATCAAATCCCAATGGTGAAACAAGTCACTTCCCAGGGGTTGTGACACTCAAAAAAAAATAATGTACTGATTTACAAACATCTTTTTTCCCAATGTAAGTGTATGGGAAAAAGTCTTTTTTGGACTGATGGCATCGTGTGATGGACCCAGAGGTTGTAGTTACACGGTTTGACCACTATGTCACATTGGCTTCAAAGTCCTGCTCTTCATGGTGGCCTGATTACAACACACACAGAGGGACTATAACATCATTGTCTGCTCTTGATGCCATTACTCCACTATATCTTTGCATAACAGTTATTGGTTTGCTTCTATACTAATGCTCTGAATGTCACATACAGCTTCTTTAACATATTTAGCTCCATACCTCAGAGTTGAGAAGACAGTGAAACAAGAAGACAAAGAACCCCTGAAAAAACAAAAGAGAAAAAAAATGTCAGTTTTCACAAATGGCAGCAAACATTTGGGAAAAGAAAAGAAAGCCCAGGGAAAACTTACTTGTAATGAGTTGAATACAGCAAAAATATAAAGGAATGGCAAAGAGTGTGTGTTGACAGCGAGAACGCCAAAAATCCAGGAAATGCCAAGTATAGGCAGGAGCACAGCCACTGCTTTTACAGTCAGCCTTAAAACAACGCAAGAGACAGTCATGTTTTTATTATCAGCTTTCTTAACAAGAGAGACATTTTAAAAGAGCACTGGTCTGATCAGGACAACACATAAACTCACTTGACTGCATTGGCATCTCCATGAACCTTGTAACTCTCTCCGCTGATTCGAGATATGATCCTGGTCACAGATATTAGGATGCCAATGTTCACCTGGAAATCAGAGAGGAGGTTCAATACATTTAACACAGAGGCACAGGCAAGTTTACAATGAATACAGATTAGATTGTAGATCAAATTATGCAACAAATTGAGTACTGTGAAAAAATGATAAATGCAAATTGTTGCAAATTCCTCACCACTATGACAAACAGAGCCGGTGCCACAAATGCCCAGATGGCCCCGTTCGTCAGTGACAGCCAACAGCTGAGAAAGCAAGGACAGGGGTAAGGCTAAGACACGAAAGAAATCACACCGTGTGCCCTTCCGAGTAAAAATAATATAATCATGTGATGTAAATATGGAACGACATGTGTAGTTAGTGTTAACCTGAAAGCTTTTGAATAACACAGAACACGGCTCATGGCTCCAATTTCTTCAGCAGGTGATGTCAGTCTTACACAATGTCACAAAGCTTTGATGGGATGAAATGAATTCCATATATATATATATATATGCATGTATATATA